TGAAATACCACTGGGCTTTTTTTTTTTCTAATGAAGCAAGAATAATTAACACCTTTTTCCTAGTAGTAGATAACATCTTGAGCTTTTGAAGGTTAGAGCAATGGGTAAAATAAGTAAAGCTTGTCTTAATCATTAAAATAGCTTTTTTTTTTGTGTTAAAGCTACTTAAAAGTATTAGGAACAGTAGGGCATGTGCCTTTGCTTAACTGATCCAGTAGTTTCAGTTTGACTGTTTCTACAGAGATCTTCAACACCCATTATGTGATAGCACAGCTTTCAGTATTTATACTGAATTTGCATACAGCAAATTGCACTTGCTGGCCTTGAGTTCTTAGAATTCTCTTCATTATGACAGAACTCTGACAAGGAAAATCGAGGTGAGCACAGTTTTATTGAGGTAGAGTGGCTGAAAAGACAGATATTATGCTGCAACCTAGGATTTTAAAGTGATCTCTGAATGCCTGTTAATAATTACAACAAGAATTTAAGCAATTGTGCTCAGGTATTGGGAGATGGTGCAAAGAATCCTTTTTACTATATTGTTAGATCCTCAAATGCGGAGAGAAAGGAAAAAGTAGTTAAAGGGCAAATGAGGAACTTGAAGCTAGGCTTAAAACAGAGTATGTTCCTGAGACATTTCCCTCTGTACCAGGGCATTGAAGAACATTATCTATATTTTTTATTTCAACAAGTGTTGTTTAAATAAAAATATAGATAGTTTGTTGTTGAAATAAAGCCAGCAAACAATCCTGAAATGTAAAATATATAGAGGGGAGAAAGGGGGTGGATCAGGTGTATGTACAATTCTGCTTACATTGTGTACTCTGAGAGGGAATTAATTTACTATGGTAAGATTTAATTAGTGGACTCTCGGCCTTTCTTGTGTCAGTGCAAGATTCAATAAGAGGAAGGGTCTTTTAAATGAATGAATAGTTAAGCCCCTAAGTTTTTGTAGAGTATCTGTTCACATAAACTTCTGTTTCCCAGCTTAGAACAAGTTGAGAAGACAGTATCATGTTTGTTGGAGTCTTTAAATCTTTTTTTTTTAGAAAGATGAGTGTACTTTCAACTTCAGATAATATTAATTTGAAAACAATTCTTTCAGTAGGAAGATAGATTATTAATAACTTAACTGACTTGTCTTTATCATGGTTTGACTTAGTCTACCAATCACTGTCATAACTGTATCTGCTAAATCTTGACAAGAGTTTTTGATCCTTTCAGTCTTGCTATTAATGAGAAATGAAGGCTCTGGGGAAATGAAGTTATTATTTAACTCGCAGTTAATTGTACTGATTGCAGAAGGGTATTAAAATCCGTTGAAGTAAAATATGTACTTTGCTTGAAGATTTTGATTTTGATTTTTTTTTTAATGCCCAAACTCACTTTGGGATAAAGTGTGAGTCCTATAATTCCATTGTTCATGTTTCTGCCTATATGTCAGGCTACAGAAAAAAAGAGGATCTAAATGTCTGCTGGTTGAAAAAGGGAGGCTGGCTGACAGGCTGCTTGAGACTTGCCCAAGTTTAGAGAGTTGAGAAGACTAAAAGCAGCATGTGTGGCTGCAACAGGAGTATGTAAAGGAGATCTGAAGAGAGATGCTTTTGAAATATTGCTAAACTTCTGCATTAGGCAATTGACTCTTACCTTGAGGTCTGTACTATGAAGTTACCTGTATTTTATTCTTTGGAACAACTTATGTACTTGTAGCAGACCTAGAAGTCTGTAACAAACCCATGGCACTTCTTTATATAAGGCTTTAATTTAATCTTACTTTAATCTTACTGATACTGTTCCATATACCAACCATTTTATGCTTGAGTACTATGAGCTGATGCCAGTTTTGCCTGGTTCTTGGGCTGCTAGCATTGCATGAGCATGCCCACATTCAGAGCTTTGTTCAAGTTTCTGAATAATAAATTTAAACTATTCTTTTGCACAGCTTCAAACCTCTTCCTTCTGTGGAACTGAACTGTATCTGAGCTAGTAAGATTGTTCTGACTTACTCATTGATCTTGGTGAAATCTGCCAGTGAGGTAAACACAAAGGAAATCGTTTCATATAAATCTGATCTGTTTGCAGTGAACATTTTCCAAAAGAGGTGTAAACTGTTTTTAAGTAGCCCCTTCCAGGTATTTTATCCATGCAGATGTGGCCATGTGTTGGGATTGGCAAACATTTTTGGCCTGTAATGGCAGGTGGTAGTTGCCTGTGTTCACAGGTAAGGAGAAACCTTTATTTTCTCCTTGTATCTTGTGACTGGCTCTTCTGCAAATGGATTTGAAGCAGGTTTGGGATCATAAATCTGTCTCCTGGATTCTGTAGCCATACGGAGCACAGCCTTTAAGTAGCTGGATAATCTCTCCTTGAAATGCATGTACCTGTATAACCAGTTTAACTAGTGTCCTGGGTTCAGCAATAGCAATCATTTTTCTCCTTCTTAGTAGCTGGTGCAGTGCTGTGTTTTTGACTTTCAGCTTGAGAACAATGCTGATAACACCAACGTTTTTAGTTGTTGCTCAGTAATGCTTACTCTGACCAAGGACTTTCTGAGTCCATGCTCTGCCAGGGAGGAGGGGAAGCCAGGAGGAAGCAGAGACAGGACACCTGACCCAAACTAGCCAGAGAGGTATTCCATACCACAGCACGTCATGCCCACTGTATAAACTGGGGGCAGTTACCAGGAAGGGCTAGATCACTGCTCGGGTTGGGCTGGGTATCAGTCAGCGGGTGGTGAGCGGTTGTATCCTCTTCCCTTGTTATCATTATTATTATTGGTGGTAGCAGTAGTGGGTTTGTGTTATACCTTAGTTACTGGGCTGTTCTTATCTCAGCCCGTGGGAGTTACATTCTTTCCATTCTCTCCCCCATCCCTCTGGGAGCAGAGGAAGAAAGAAGGGGAGAGTAAGTGAGCGGCTGCGTGGTTCTGAGTTACTGGCTGGACTTAAACCACAACAACTAGTAACATAGGTGCGATGTCAGTGGCACCCCTGGATCTTATCTACAGTTTTTAATGCTACTTTGAGTTTCTAAAATCCCCTGAATTTCACAATAGTCACAAAACTATAAGACTCAAGTAAATAACACTGATTATTTGTGCTGTCAAAGGGTATTTTTAGAGGGGTTTTGGTGTTGGAAGTGAAATGCTTTAAATGCAAGAAGGTAGTTGCACTATCTTTCAGTTATTGGGAACTGCACAAGGATAGTGTCTAGGCTATTAAATGAGTAAAATCTGTGATACTGATTTTTTTTTTTTCTCAAATACTGTTGTTGGTATTTTTATTATTTAAAAAAAATGAAAAGGGAGGGACTGAATTTCTGCCTAACAGCACAGGTTACTTAAACAGTGGTGCCAGTTCTCTGACATACCATCAAGCTTCCATTCATGGTGCAATAACTTAATGTCATAATAACCAGCTGTAGCATAGTCTGGGGATTGCAGTGGGAAAATATGAAATCAGGGGTGTGTTCTATTTTAGCTGACACCCAAACAAAGCTTTTGTAGTGACTTACAGACTTGAGATTTCATGCCCATATCTAGGTTGGTGCAATCCTTTTGCTCAGCTTTTCTGTGCTTTTTTTTTTTTGTTGCATTTTCGTTGTGTTACTCCAGACCTTAGGGGTGGGCTTTTTTGGGGGAAGAAAATGGTTAATATCCATGTGGCTGTGATGATCTCAGTGATTCCTGCTAAAATATAAAGGGGGAGCAGGCTGTTCAACCTGGAAATGAGAAGCGGTGTGGAGATCTCATAGCAGCTTCCGCTATCTGAAGGGGGCCTTCAATGATGCTGGGGAGGGACTCTTCATCAGGGACTGTAGTGATAGGGCAAGGGTGATGGGTTCTAACTGAAACAGGGGAAGTTCAGGTTGGATATAAGGAAGTTCTTTATTGTGAGAGCGGTGAGGCACTGGAATGAGTTGCCCAGGGAAGTTTTAAATGCCCCATCCCTGGCAGTGTTCAAGGCCAGGTTGGACAGAGCCTTGGGTGACATGGTTTAGTGTGAAGTGTCCCTGCCCATGGCAGGGGTTGGAACTGGATGGGCTTTGAGGTCCCTTCCAACCCAAACCATTCTGTGATTAAGTTACCTAGTGTGATGCAGTGGGATCTAGACAGAGGCAGCAAGAAGAATGAATGGGGTAGAGGAGGGTTATTAAATATTGCACAAGAAACAGGGCATCTAACCTGGGCCTTAGCAGGGAGCTAAGTTTAAAATGTTTGGGAAGCTTCCATGCAGCAGCAGAGAAGGAGCAGTAAACAGACCAACAACAGCTGAAAGAGCAGGGATTCCTGGGTGGAATAACTGCAGCTGGTTTGAGAGGAGCCTGGGACAGCTCCTGGTGCCAGGCTGTTGTGTATCCTCTCCAAGCTGGATATTCTGTTACTGCTTTTACTGTCTCGGGTATTTAGATCCGCTGAAAACTTCCGGGAAGCTTAAATTAAGGCTCCGCATCTTTGCTTAATTTATTTGATGTGCTTATATCTTGAGACTCATTCTTGTTCCTTATGCCCCCCCACGGCCCGTCAGTGGGGACTGAGGCACAGGCGGAGGCTCGTTTACGTCACCGCACGGTGACGTCGCCGAGGCGCAGCCTGACGTCACGGACACGTCACGCGGAGGCGGGGAGAGCCCCGCGCGGGGCGTTGCTAGGTTACCGGACGCCGGGAGGGGGCGCGGCGCCGCCGCTGCACTGCGACAAGGCGGGGCCGCCGCCGCGCCGCGGCGCTGGCGCCCGCATTACCCCCCCCGCCCTTCCGGCCTTCCCATTGGCTCTTCCCGCCGGGAGGGGGCGGGGTCTCGGCGCTCTCCCGGCGCTGATTGGCCGCTGCCGCTCCCCTCACAGCGCTCTCCGGGAGGGTGGTGCTGGGCGGTGGCGGCGTGTGTGTGAGCGAGCGCCCGGCTGCCGCGATCCGGGCACGGCAGGTAGGGACGGGGCGGCCCTGCCCCGGGGGTGCCGCCGCGCTGAGGAGACCCGGGCGGGCTCCGCCGGGGTCCCTCAGCGGGAGTGGCCGAGCTCCGCTCCGCCGGGCGCCTGGCGTGGCGCTTGTCCCGTCCCGCTGCCTGCCCCGGCGGCCGTCACGCCGTGAGGAGGAGCCGCTGCCTGCCCCGCCGCTGTGCCCCTGGCCTGGGAGCCCGCCAGGTAAACCCTGCCTGGGGGCAGCGGGAGAGCTTCCTGCAGCCGCGGAGCGCTGTGCTGGGTGTCCCCTCCGCTCCCCGGCCCCTCAGTGCCCCTGACCGGGGCCGGTGCCCGGCAGCTGCGGGGGGCTCTCTCTTGGGGCGGCTGGCGGGGTCCCTATGGCTGAGGGGGGCTCCCGCCGGGACGGTGCTGCATGAAGGGGCTGCTTGAACTTGTAGGATCTTCCCCCCAAACTGGGCTGATTGTTCAAGTTGTTTTGCTTAAATACCTCATTTTAACGTTTGTTTTGTCTCCTATGTGGGAAACGACAAAGTTGGTGCTGTTCCTCTCCCCCACCTCATTCTGCACCATCACTTCCTCGCATTTAAGGGTTCTGCATGAAACCTCCTGCCCGTCCCGCCCCCTTCACCTTCCTGCAGGTTATGCACCTGCAAGGGGATGGCAATTCCTCGTTTTCAGGCTGTTTCTTTGCTTTAAATGAAGAAATGAATCAGTGTTGTGTGAGGCGGCGTGTTTCCGTAATGTAAACCAACTTCCTGCATAATGAATTAACACTTCATTTAAATCACATCAGTTTCATGAGGTGTTAAGGGGTTGAGAATATTTTACACCACTCTAATTTAGGATTTTAAGTATTAGTAAAAATTCCTATTGTCATGTATCTCTATATCGTGCCTCTCAAAGGAGTTATTCAGAATTAAGTAACTCTTTTCCGTTTGGTTTCCATAGCCGAGGAAAGGGTTAACATGAGCTTTACTTACAGTAACAGACTGGAGGGAATCTCTACAAGTTGCCTTCTCTCTCTTAACAATATGATTTATTAAAGGCTTTATGTTGCTCTTCTGATGGGGTGCACCGTTCTTGCATGGGACTGAATCCTCTGTGTATCTTTATAGTTCTGACAGGGTTTCCTAAAGGACAAAAAGGGAAATGTTAAATATCATGTGAGAAGCCACAAAGAGGAGTGGCCTTCATTTATCTTTGCAGCAATAAGCATACATAGAACTGTATTTTAGTGCACAGAATAAGCAAATAATATTTGAGACAAAGGTTTCACCTTCTCTGAATGTGTCATTACATTTTAGAGTACCTGTCATCCCTTCATGGTTGGGTTGCTTCACGCTCCACAGTGCTGATGTGTTTGTGACAACTCACAACAAAAGATCTCCCTTGAAATTATAGACTTTATCCCAAAGTAACTGCTTTTCTTTTTTTCTTCAATTTCTCAGTAAAATATTACTGCAGAACTAGTCCTTAAAATGGTGATGCATGGAATATGGACAATACTGGTAATTTCACTTCGATTACATGTATTTTATGGTGCAAGACCAGGGGATTCTGATACTCCTTCATTTACTTAACTCATTCAAACATAGTTTTAAACCAGCTGCTACTTGCATACAAGGTACCCCAAGAAGTCAGCTTCGTATTTTACAACCACTAGGTTTGCCACTGGTGCTGACCTGTTCTGGCCCAGTTCTTTCTTTTCATAGCAGCGGTTATGGTAGATGTTCAGTGCTCAGATATAATCAGTGCTGACATCTGTCTGTGCACGGACAGTGTGATTTCTCCACTGTAGAATTACCACAGTGACACCACTTGATAAGTACAGTCAGGGTGAGGATTGAGGGGTCAGGGACTGATCTGCTTTTACCTCATAGTGGCATCTGTCTTAGCTGGAAATTTGGGCTTGTATTGTCTGTGAAGGACCCTTGTCCTTTAAAACTGGCTGTTTAGAATGCTTTGCAATAGGTTTCATTTAGAATTGCTAAAGTGGTGTGACATTTTGTATTGGACTTGTCTTCTGTGTTTTATTTGTGGCCTTTTTTCTACTTTTAATCTCATGAACACATGGAACCTAAGAACTGTCTTGGTGGGTTCTAGGTTTTTCGTTCCCGGGTACTTTGTGTCAAGACACTTTGGAAAAGGTCCAGGGTGCTTTCCAAAGGCAAGACCTTCCTAAACTCTTTGGCTGTGAACCTTTACTGTGTTCCGTGGTGCTATGCGTTAAATCAATTTTGAAAAAGGAAAAAAACCCAGCCAAAGTTGTCTCAAATTGAGAGAGGTGCGGGTTCTTTTTCTTTAAGGTGTTCACTTCTGTCCTTATACACTTTGCTCTGATGTTGAACTTAAAGTTGAAAGAATAAGGGGTTTTGCCCTGATAATCCCAGCTAATCAGGAGTTCTGAGTACCTTAGATCAGCTCTAAAGTCATGTCTTTAGAAGGAGAGCTGAAAGACACTGAGTGCTGTGTTACCTGACTCCAAAGTAGTATTGATGGCCCTTAGCTCGGTTGGCACTTTATAATGAAAGTCAGGGTGGCAAAACAAATAGGCAGAGTAAGAGGAAACCAGAGTTGAGCCCTAGAAAGTTTGTGGGGACAGACAAGTGTATCTGAATGTAAGTAAATGTAAATTAAAGTCCTAGAATCCTAGAATGGTTTGGGTTGGAAGAGACTTTAATAAATATCCCCCTGTAGCTTAGGCTGTTTGGCTGTTTATTCTGAGATTTTAGGAGGCCTTTTTTTTTGTATTGGAGGGCTCAGTGGTGTGAATCCCTCCTGGAAACAGACAGCTCAAAGGAATGGTGGAGGGTAATGCCTGCTGCTGTTAAGTTGTTTTTGGTATGTTTTGCACATCCCCAGGGTTCTGAGGATGCAGATATGAATATATAAATGCTGTCAAATGAAGCATTGCTGCTTGACTGTAATGCTGTGGTGAACTTTTCCCATAGTTATTTATGGAATGCTGCAGTAAATATAGATGAAGCTTTAAGCGTGCTGAGAGACTTGCTAATAACATTTTTCTCTTCTAGGCTTAAGTAGCCAAAGATGAGTCGTGGATTTTCAGAAAACAACAACTTTCCATATGACAACAATCAAATGGTGTTGGACATGATCCTCTGTTCCCTCATTGGTGTTCCACAGCCTATCAACTGGGACAGTGTGGCGCGGCTAGTTCCAGGATATACATCCAAAGAGGTGAAGTTACTCATAAGAGAATTCAAAGCCTGAACACTGAAGTTAAACATGTTCTGCATTTTATTTCATTAGGACTCATGTAGAGTAAGAACAAAAATTACTGGAAAAAATTAATTAAAAAGTGGAATTAAAAAGTAGTTGTGCTAACATACTTCAAATTACATAGGATTTCCATCTGAAGGATGGTGGTACTCACTAACCTCATGTAGGTTGTAGTATACTTACTAGCAAACCTGATAACTTTCTATGCTTGTCATCACAATCCTGAGGAAGCATGAGTTACAGATCTCCATTAAGTAGCTAAAAGTGCAGTTGCCTCTTGCTTGGTCCTGCAAGTTGTGGAGTTTTCTTTCTTTGGTTGGAATAGAGTTAGAATTAACTGTAGGTTAACTAGGGTTAGTACCTCCATGTACTTAGTCTTTCTGGATTGCTGAATTTCATGGTGAAATGTTTACTTGATAATTTTTAATAATGATTTTTATTTTTTCATTTCTGAGGGGATGTAAGGTAAGAGGAAAATGTCTTTTGCCCTTGTGATTCAGCAAAGCTGGAAGCAAACAAGCCAGTGATCTTTACTTTCTTGCAAACATAATCAAATGTGTCAGCTCACATTTATAACGTTGCTGTTGGGCATCAATGTAACCTTGTATTTAGAACATAAAAGTGAATGATTGGGAGTAGAAATTTAACATTGTAGAATATTATAGGGCTTTCAAATGCTTGGCAAAGCTCTTGAAGGAGGGATCTGTACTATTTACATTTCAGTTTGCAGGTGATACTGTGCCCATTAAGCAAATAAATAACCTCTAAAAATATTGGTGAACTCTCTCCTCATATTCATGAAGGTAATATGATTGCTTAGCACCTGTCTGATTACTCTATATTAAAAGAACAAAGTGTCTCCCATATGTGGAGTCCCTATTTAAGGCAATTAAGTAAATGTATACCTGTGCTTTTGTATCTGCTATATATATAGAAGACTGGCATGGTAATGAATCTGAGACACTACATTAGTATCAGGAGGATGTCACTGTGTGTACCTCTCCCAAAGGGACAGGTGGGATTCAGCAATGTCAGTTAGCTCAATCCAAAATAAGTACATAAAACTGCTACTTGAATGGAGCCTGATGAGCTGAGTCACAAGAGGGTTACCTATGGAATTAAGTAAATTTACTTGTATGTGTAAATTACCTGTGTGTAGGATTCTGCTGAGGCAAAGACGTGATTGTTATTGTATGAGTTAAAATGTACAAAATTGAAAGACTCCCTAGTTTGTCAAAACAAGGAATGGGAAGTTAACAGAAGTGCAGTGGAAATCACCAGTCCCTTTTGTCCAAATCAGAGTGGAGGTCAGAAAGTAAAATAATAGTAATTATGACGCAATTACTTTAACTACTTTTAATAATATTTGACAATGTTTATGGAAAAGAACTAGTTGCAAAATGAGAATTGAAACTCTCACCATGACTTTCCCCTTTACAGATCAGGCTTAAACCCACAGGGTTTAAGGAAGTACCGATTGAAACAGGTTCTATCTTATTTTTTCCTCTTTCTGTTAGTGTATTTAATTACGGTAAATATTGCTTATTCTAGTGTATATTTTTGTACTTTCCTGATACCACTAACGAAGTAGGAAGCATTGAAAGTTTAATATCAGTAACTGTTCACATGCAGAAGGCATGAAATACAATATTTGTATCAAATTATAGTTATTAAAAATGTACTGAAAGCTACTGCTTCATTGTCCTATCATTTAATCTTGTGACAGTGTGCAAAAAGGTTTGATGAACTAAAAAGCAGTGGAAGTTCACCTGTTGACAACCAGTTTAATCCCCTGATGGCTGCTGGTGGGAGTCCTGTGGAAACTTTAGCTACATACATCAAGTCCTCCTTGCTCGATACACAGACAGAGTTTCAGGAGCCTGCTATTGGGCAGGATTCCATTACTATAACTGGTATGTTTTTAGTCATTCTGAACTATGTTGGCTTTGATTATTATCAGTATGTGCATGCTTTTGTGTCCTGAGTGGTAAGTCCACCCAGGAATAGCAGTTACTCGTCTTTGAAAAAGTCAAGGATAAATATAATGCATACCTGAGGTCGCTTTCAGTTAGTTTAGCTTAAGAATCAATGTTTGTTTGGGCATTTTAATAGTTTGTCCTCCCCAAAGGCATAAATCCTTACACTGAATCCTCTGTTTTAGTATTTTGGTGGGGAAGGGAATTACTCTCCTGTTTTGTATCCCCGGTGTTGTACTGCTAAACTTACAGCTATTTGCAATCACATTGAGCTGTGTTATTAAAATAACCAGACAGTTGTTAGAAAATCTGCAGAAAGCTGAGAAGGTGATCCCTTGAGGTCTGACCCTTCTCTCCCGGCTAAAAGCTCTGTGCTTGCCATGCGGCTTGATGACAAGATGACTACATAGGAGAATGTAGAGGAGCTACTTTTTGCTGCAAGACAGTCTTGCAATGACACATAATATGCCTTAGTCAATTATCTGTTCCAGTACTAGTTTGGCAGAAGAGGGCCAGCCCTAATAGCTGTATTTCAATCACAGCACAATTAAATTTTAACATTTCCTTAAGTACTTCTGCTGTAAGCAATTGTAATTTGCTGTGTCATAGTTATTCTCTGATTTTTCATTGTAGAGTGAGATGTTTTCAATGCCTTGTGGGACTTGATAAACGTGTTGCATGAGAAATTTGCTTCATTAATGAGTAAGCAATTTCTATGTTAAAAATTAAAATGACAGTGAAGTGTTGAAACAAAGTGTTTGGTTTCAATGTCCTTCACAGTGCTGCAGCTTCCTAGTAACTGTTCTCTTTGGAGAAGAAACCCAGCTGTTTGACCTTTGCTGGAGAACAAAGAAAATGCTTTCAATAAGAGATGATGTTTGAAAACTCTATATGGAGTATCTAGACTGAAAATGCTTCCAATCAGCTTTCAGTTATGTCCTTGTTACATGCACGATGTGGAATAAATGCCTCTTGCACCCAAGGGTGGCTACTTAAAAGATTAGTAGCTTCCCAGTGGGCAGTTAACAAGCTAACTCTGCTCATAAAACTCTAATTGAGTTGTCATAGAAAATTAGTGCATGTTTTCTCTTTAACAGTGTAGTGCATATAGTAAGTATTAATGCATTTAAGTACCCTAATGTTTCCTATTACAAGATCCTGGCCTAGCATTTTGTTCTGTTTTGTTTGTAGCTTTAGATAAATTATTTTCCCTGTTTATATGTAATTTGTTGATATGAAATTAGGGTAATTAATCTTTCTCTCACAGGCTTGAGTGGACTCACCTTAATATTTGTGAGGTACTTGTATCTTTCAGAATTGGTGATTTAAGAAAAGCCTATTTGTAAATGTTTTTTATGTTTAATTACTTCCTAGTGGATTTATTCACATCTGCTTATTGTTAGGATCAAGAAATTTAGGCCCATTTGGATTTGTTTCTAGACATGAGTAACAGCAAAAAAAGCAATCAGACCAAATGAATTTTGAGCTGGATTCTGGTTTTGTAGGAGTTACAAAAGCTCATTTATTACTTGCTAATTGTATGGCAAACTGCCGTTAAATACCTCTGAATGCATATTATGGCAGTAAACAAGTGTATGGGATAGCCTTTTACCCAAAGTGTTTATTCCTAATTCCAGAAATCAATCTATATTCACGGGGGGGGGGGGGGGGGGGGGGGAGGGGAGGAACAACAAAAAATAATAGGAAGAAATACATGATGGAGTTCAGACATCCCTGTTAATTTGGCTGTGCTGCATACTCTTGTCAGCATTATTTCTTTAATAAATAACTTCAATGTGTTCAAGGTAAGCTCCTTAATATTTGCAGACAGAACTCTCTCATACATTTTTCCACCTTCCTTTTAAATACTCACCTTATTTCACATTCAAAATCTGGCTTAGATCTCCCACTGTAGCTGTCTTAATGCTACCAGGGGTCATCTGCCTGCAATGAAATGGCTGCCCTGAAGGCTGTGTCTGACCCAGCCCCTTCCAAGGTTTTTCCAGGGTCGCTCTAGTAAATCTATCCCCTTTATTAGCTGTGTTACTGCTATTATGGCCTTACTAAGGCTTAAATCTGCAATGCCTTAGGCTATATCTTTGGAGAAAGTTTTGTTTCTTCTGCTTCTAGTGTGATAGCTTTGCTTTCCTGAGGGGCATAACTACTGTGTTCTGAACTGCATACAGCTTCTAGATCATTTTTGATGTCAGTCTGGTATAGTTATTTAGCCACAAGATGAAGAGGTCTATCTTAATCCTCTTCAGAAGAGTACGACCTTGTACATTACACTAGAGGGAGAAAATGCTTCTGGAACTTTTTCCCTATAAATCTGAGAGTAGAAAGTAATCGTGGAAAATCATGACCTTGCGTGTTTTCATCATGGAAGACAATATGTGCCCTTCCATTATTTAAAACAGATAATGATCTTTCTGTTTTATAATCAAGGTTATTGATGTTTCAGATTGCAGTGATCCATTACTCTTGGAAAAGTTATTCAGATGTCTGCTGGGGTTGTCTTAACCCTTAACCCAGAAGTCACTGGATTTGGTGACTGGATCTCCTGGACTTCACTGGGTTTTGTGTCCGGGTTGTACTGTTTGTAGTGCATTTGTGAAGATAACCGGTTTGAACTGAAGCACAGCTGACCTTTATTCCTAGAATAAGTTCCTGTCTAGGACAAGACAAATTCCATGGTCTGCTTTCTTTGAGCACTGTTTTATATACTCTGCTTTAAGCCGCATGTTTGAGAAACTTGGCAAAAACACATCTTGAGAGGCTTCTGTCTGGAAGCAACTCATTTCCAAACCTAACACTATGGATAAGAAGCAGAGTTAGTCTCAAGTTGTTATATCCTGGCGGCAAAGCTTCCCACAAGACCCACATCCCACAGAGCAGAGAAGGAGAGCTAAAGGAACGGATTGCTTTCCTGGAAGGAAATTCTGAAGACTCTGTGAATCTTACTGTTCTGTATTGAGACAGAACCAATCTGGGTTTGCAGCCAAGTGTCTGGGCAACCTGGCAGTGCAGCTGGTCTGAGTTTCCAGTGCATGGCATTCAGAGCAGGAATTTGGGTTAGCTTAGTAGCCTGTATGGCAGCAAATTTGTTGCTAGTTGTGTAACATTGCTCCACCATGAAAGCTGTACTTCAGTTGCGTTTCCAAGATGATGGACTAAAAAAGGTCAGGCATTTTTGTTCTAACGCGCCTTTTCCCCTTACATTTAAGGAAGGCCCAGCACAACCTCCACATCAGAATCTGAGAAAGGTCCTGTGCATAATGGTGGAGAAAGCACTGATGAAAGCCAGGGGTAAGATATGTGTGTTTATCTAGGGGGGTATAGAATTGACAGAAAGGTGTCTAAATTGCTCATACTTTTCTACTACCAGAAAGAAAACAGCTGAGAACATCCTAATAAACAATGTAAGACATCTTGGAACCTTGCATTGCTACAGAAATACTAGGGGTTGGTTTGGGAATTACTTATGTGCAATAGGGAGAACTCATTTATAAATCTGTCCACAATGTTCCTGTGAGTGATTGATCACTGCTGTTGAGAGAATGGGAAACATAACCTGATTTAAAAAAGAAATGAAACAAGATTGATGCTCAATAACATTTTAATTAAAAAAAAATGTTCTTTGAACATGGATTTGTCCCATGTAAAAGCAGGAAAAGAAAGCTGAAAATGAAAAGTACAAATAAAAAATTTTCCTATGAATTCAAATAGCAGTGATGAACATTACTGTTTTTCATACTATCAGATTCCTGTTTTCCGTATTATGCAAGTGCACATAGAATAAAGTGTGTACTTGAAACCTAATGGTAACCATCTTCCTCTAGAGACAGCATTTACTGATTCTAGCTTTGACCTTTTGTAAGAAATAGGCATTTTAATATGCAATAAAACAGTTTTAATTGCTGCAGATGAGAATTACTATTGTATGCTGTTATTGTCCTTGGTACCTCAGTAACTTAGGCATATATATCTGCCTTTTTTTCACAGGAAAATTTAAAGGGTGGAACAAATAAATTCTCCATGTAATTCAGGTAGTATCCCATAATAAACTGGTGACAAAACTGGGGCTTGAAGCTGGAAATCTGCCTTCTCTGGTCCCTTAACAATTAAATCACACTAATTATGTGTCGGATGATATGCATCTGTGTTTTTTCACCTGACAATGCCATCAGACAAAGCTCTTGTCAGTATTTTGTGTTAATAATTGTAATTCATTTTCCTTCTGTTAAAAAAAACCCTGTTAGTGACATCAGTGTTGCAGTGTGTGATACAGATTTGGAGATGAGATCTTTGTTGATGGGTTTTGGTGGTCTAATTGGCTAATGGTCCTAATTTGGTTTGTGGTTTGTTTTCTTTTTGAGGCCAAATATGGTGATCCATGTGTGCGACGAAGCAAAAAACCTCAAAGAAGATTTTGTGTGTCCTCGTGACCTTTTGATTTCAGAAATGAAATACTTTGCTGAATATCTGTCTGTGGATGCCCAGCGCTGGGAAGAGGTGGACATTTCAGTGCATTGTGACGTTCACATCTTTGACTGGTTGATAAGATACGTTAAAAGGAACACTAAGGATTCTGAAGCTAATGAAATGCCCACTTTAGGTAAAAGGAAATGTGTAGAACATGGAAAATTAATGGGTTTTGTACAGTTCAGCCTCAGCCTATTTGTTTGTGACTGTTGCGCTGAAGCTTGTCCTTTGTTAGGGAAGTGTTGCAACAGAGATCCTCTGGTTGTAATAGGAGATGTCTCCAACTTGTCATCACTGGTAGTTCTGAGGAAATATCCCGATAGTTGTAGCAGTGAAAAAGGTCTAATATGTTTTGGGATGTGAGGGTTTTAATTAAGCTTCTTTAGACCTCTTCTGAACAACAGCAGAATAGCAGTTTCAAAATACTGGTGATGGTTGGGTTTGGTTTTGTTTCCCTGCTGCTCCCCATTGATACAATTGCAATATTGTCTAAAATTTCAATGCATTCTGATACAATGGTAGGACTTTTGCCTTTATGAATTTGAAGCAAGTTTTAAATCTTTTTAGGAGCCTTTGCTATGCATTTTTTAAGCATACAAACAAACAAGAGAATAGAGTTATGACTTGCAATGCAAAAGGCATGTTAAGCAAAATCTTAGCTGGGTATGATGGCTATAGAAGGAAGGTAGTCTAACAGTGTAATTGTTTAGTCATTATATACTTATGAAACCACCTTTTACAGTTTTTATAAGTTCCAATTCGCTATAGTTGTACTCTGGCCACCTAATTGATAAACCAAAACTATGTTTCTTAAGATAGAAAATCCTCTACATCTTGGGAATGGCAGGTTGATCAGTAAAATAATACTTAAAACAGCTACTAAATATGCAGAGGGAGGGATGTGATACAAAATTTTCAAAAGAACTAATGTAAAACACCCCCCTTTTTTTTTTTGTTGGCTTTTAGAACCATCAAATGTCATCTCAATTCTTATTTCTTCTGAGTTTTTGAAGATGGATTCATTAGTAAGTATTAAGAAAGATTCTCTGCCATAAGGGCACGGTTAATTAAGAGGTGTCTGAAGAACTTGTTTCTTTTGCTTTGGCTGTTACAGAAAGAGTTGATGCAATGAGAACATTTTCAGATTTTTCTACCACCTTTCTAGTTGAGTGCAGCAGTCTGATATTTGCAGATTCTCAATGCAAAAAGACTTACACTGTATGTTATATGCAAATGTGATAGTGGGTCTTGGATTTGCTTTTTGACGACTGATACAGAGTCCCATCAGTATCCGACTTCTGATACGTTCTATCAAAAAAAGATTATTAAATCAGTGGATACCTTTGGGTTATATCCTTTTTATGCTGAAGACACATCTGCCTTTTAGGATCTAGTTCTCCAGCTCTGTACAAGTAATATCTACTGACTTGCTTGTTAAAATGTTTGTTAACAGTTCTCTCACTGGGGTGAACCACTATTAAATATGCAGTAAGCATAGTTGAGATACAGGCAATACTACGTATGATGTGTGCTGTGCTTCTCCTTTTGCAAGATGTTGGAAAGTACCACTTGTTGAGGATGAAACATTTGTTGAGTTGTGTTTTGGTCTGTAAAAACCTTTTGGAGGAGAATATAAACTAACTCAGAGTCCTGTTAATTCAGAGTCTCCTTTAGACAAATCTGAGATTTGTTTCTTATGTATAAATTGAACCAAAATAGTTTTCCAAAACACCACACTCTATAAACTAAAAGTCTTGAAGCAATTGGTAAATCCTTCTGGGAGAGCTTTGTCTGGAATTCTTTAACATCAGTTTAATGTTTCCGTTTTTCCTAGGTAGAAAAATGTATTCATTATTGTCACAAAAATATGAATGCTATTGTAGCCACACCATGCAACATGAATTGTATCAATGCTAATCTTGTTACTCACATTGCTGATCTCTTCACGCACAATGAAGTGGAAGAGCTGAAGGACAAAAGAGATAAATTTAAGAGGTAACGTTTTCCCTGTAATACACAGAATATTGTGAAATTAATTCAGAATTGTACATTAAAATTATGAGCAAAAGAAAAGGATTTTTTATGGGACCTCAAGGAAAGGCCACACTATGACTGTGGCATGGACAAATTATTAATGAACTCTTGCATGTGAGCCAGGATTAGGGTAAGGAACTCTTTATGGGATGACATGCTCCTAATTTGGAGAGAGTGGTTTGGCTTCAGCATCCTATGAAGTCTGATGTTTAGACTTAGAATTTAGGGTGGCTGGAAGGCTGAGTAGTTGTGATGGTGTACGATTTCATATGTAAGGGCTCCAGCTTAGCATCAAGGTAAGGGCCAATTCTTGGAGCACAGGCTGGCAGACAAGCAAGGTGAAAGTAAGAAAGGATTTTAATCAGCAGGGATAAAGACATTATGATTTTTAGCATTAAAGTTAAATGTAATTTCACAGAAACATTCATTAATAAATGGTCTTTTAGTCAAAGTAGAAGCTGGCAGTTTTTCTTGGCAAGCAACATAATAAAAGGAAAAAATTAAGGGATCTTATTCTTCACATCTGTGTGAAAATAAGAGATGACAGGTCAGGAACCAGTTATCCACACAGATTGAAGGAAAATCGTATTAAAAGAGATTATTATTCTGAGAGAAATATGGTGACTTTGCTTATCATCAGAATGTATTTGTTAGTCTCACTCTACATAAGACAATTTTCAGTGTTTTCTAATGGGTAAGCTGTGTTACTGTCATTAATAGTAAACTTTTCTGCAAGAAGATTGAGAGGCTCTTTGATCCGGAGCATGTAAATCCAGATTCTCGAGGCAATGCAGCAACATTGTACAGGTAAGGCCTTTTTGTATTGCTACTTCAGTTGCAAGGGCAGTCCCTGTGTTTTTGAAATCCTGCTCTTACTCCAGCACTTACTTTTGTTTTTTATAATCTAGGTGTTGTTTATGTAAAAAGCTGCTAACTAAAGAAACTGAAAGAAGAGTTCCTTGTGTACCGGGAAAAATCAACATAGACCAACATGGGAATATTGTCTATGTTCATATAAGGTAGTGAATATATGTATATTGAAAAAAACATGTTTCTTTGACTCTATGATTTTGTGTGACTTTACAAAATACTGTGTGTTTAGGAATTACCAGGTACATTACAAAAGGAAGTCACAGATAGAATGGAAGTGGAGAAACTACAGCCATGGTTACTGGGAGGGCTATTTTAGATTGTACTGCCTTAAACAGAAAATACTCAGCTAATTCCTTCATCAAAGGGGTTTAAAATGTGTGTAACTGATGATAGACAAATTAAATTAAAGGCTGCATTTCTACAAGGTTTATTGTTGAATGATAGATCCACCTCTGCCAGCAAAGAAAGGCTGGAGAGTATTTTCTAGACTGACTTTATGCTGTCAAATCAAATACTCAGCCTGCTTGAAGACTACTATAAATAAACTTTGCCAGTTCTGAAGTGTTTGTCAGAGGAGCTTCCAAGGACCTATTCTGTATGTATGGCAAATTCACTTGGCACAAATGTTTAATTCAATTCTGTTTGATCCATGTTTGTGAACAGCTGAATTCTCTTCTTAACAAAGAGCAGTGTGTGATCACCTGCAGTTCCCTCTGTCCTTACTTGCCACCTTTAAGGAAGGATGAGAGGAAATCAGTAACAAGAGACCTTTCTCATCTGATCCATTTCATTCAGAACAATCAATGCACAGTCCAGTATCAGCTCCCCAGGTCACATGTATTTAGCGTTACCTCCCACCAGCAATTCCAAGGTGTGGACTAAGCTTTGCCTAACCAGTCTAAACAGAATCACATCTTGTGGCCCTGCCCTGACCTATGAGGATCATTGGTGATTAGCCACGTAAAAGTCATTAATTGTATTACTTCAGTTAAGCTGACTGTATGTAGCTGCTGTGCAATTCCTAGCATATAAATATACAGGGTTTAAAGTTAGTCAGAGGATTATTTAGGTTCTAATTATTTGCCTTGTGGTACTTGTGACTGCTTTTCTACACAGAATCCGTTTACCATTTCTTGGGTGAAGTGACGTTGGCCACTAATGAGTTCAGGCTTATGAGCTAATGCATGCCTATCTTTAATGATTTTAAAAATAGGTTTATGTTTATTGGTCCTCTAGTGATGCCTCGAACTAGCTTCCAGTTGGAAGTACTGCTTGCTTTGTCTAGGATAGATGTATATACAGTAAAAACCATTTCAGACCAGGGCTTAAAACTGTGGGAAAAGAGTTTCTGCTCTTTCTGAAGATAATATGCACCAGTGCAAGTGCATGTTCTCTAAAGAAGCATGTGTCATTTAATCACTAGGAATGAAGTCTATATACTTAAGACTAGAAGTCTCAGATACATATATTTATCAAAAAGACTTGGTCTTGTGTTTTCAAACTTCTTCACTGAGTAATTGCTGTTGCGTTGCAGATACAGAGAAACAGGTTATGTAGGCTTTTAAAATAAATAAAGTTGCAGTACTTTGCCTCTGGTCACAACATATTTATTACTTTAAAGACAAAAAGCTGCAGTATGACTGAACTTGTTTTGTGTGCGTATTTTGATATCTTCTACTCTGTGTATTGGGTTTTCCTCTGGTTTAAGGATTCTCCTGATTTCCAAAAAGCTTAATATTTATCTTAGCTTATAAATTTGCAGTATATGGAGCTTGAGATGAATCAAGCTATAATTCTTTGTTATTAGTACGTCTTGGGTGCTGTCAAAGAATTTAGGCTCTTCTTCAGGGTCTGAATTTAATAATGATTGTCCCACATTGTATCCTTCCTATCCTAAACTCTTCTGTTGCTATTCACCAGTGGAGCACGTGTTGTTCTGCTCCTTCTCCACCTCACCTTTCTGGTGCAGGTTCGCAACAGTTGTGACTCCATATGCAACTTGACCTCTTGCTTTTTCAGAGACAAAACCTGGGAAGTCCATGAGTATTTAATTGGCCTTCATGAGGAATTGAAATCTTGGAGGGATGTTTACTGGCGTCTGTGGGGGACTGTCAATTGGTTGTCTTGCTCAAGATGTAATCAAGTTAGTACATTTTCCACTTTGACTTGTTTGTAGATGGCTTGTTGTGGGGTGAGGCAGGGACTAAAGCAGTTTGGGAAATATATGGCAATAAAGCTTGGTATATGTTCTTTATAGTGCAAAACAGACTTCCATAGGTAATCTCACCTCTCTTTATCTCTTTTTATTCTAATGTAGTCTTTCCTGTGTACTGAATTCTCCCATTGCCAGTACCATTCGCAGTCAGTTCTTTATCCAGGCGTAGCAAGTGCTCTGGGCTCAACTGGGACAGGAGTATATCCCTGTTGTAACCAAAAAGTACTTCGATTTGATCCTACAACTCTCCCAAAGGTACTTCAATACTAATTCACTTTGAAAAGAGCATAAGGCGTGGAGAGGAGGGGGGTAATAGTGTGTTATGAAAATAGATCCTCTCCAAAATAAGTATTGTATATTATTGCAGGCTGGGACCTTGGGACACAAGAGTTAAAAAGCTGAACTTCTTTTAATTGCGGTTATGAAATCAGTGCTTCCCATTAAGTCAAGTATGTGTGTATGTGTATTGCAGGGCTGCAAAGTGAGGGATCACATGGTTGATTTACCTTCAGAAAATGGAGATGGGGATGCTTTGCCATCTCAGACTACTAAAATATTGAATGATCTGCTTCATCATAGAGATGTTATTGTTGTTCCTTTCACTAAGGATGAGAATAGGTAAGAACACTGTATTGTGTTACTGAAATAACAGCCTTCAACACTTAACACATGCACATTACTTTTGATTTCTCTCCCATTTTAAAACAAGACATAGGGCTTTGTAAAGGTAACTTAGCTTTGATTGCTATGTTAGAAATTGGAAAGAGAAGAACAAGTATTTTTCCCTTTTTCATATTAAGCAGGCTTTTGGTCATTCATCCTCCATAAGCATTCACTCTTTTCTTTATATTTTAATGGATTGTTATCAAAATAGTCTGTGGCTAACTTGGAGGTCTGCCTTCTCTCTTCATGCATGATGAGTGAAGAGAGACTGATTCTAAAGTGCAAGATTTGTTTTGATTTCACATCTTTCTCTTTAAGTGATTCTGGGATTGGGCTCGGTGATGAAAAAAGCATTGAATGTGATGTGCTTGTAGAACCAAACACGCCGTGGGGTCCCAAAACTGGAGAAATCAATGCTGTGAGTGCTAATGTTGTTTTTTTTTCTTCCCCCTTTTTTTTTTATGATAATGAGGATTCTTACAAAGGTACTTTGAAGAATTCACTAGGCAGCTTTTGATAAAAAAGATTCAGTCATACTTTAAAATACATCACATGGCAATATTTAAATAATTGCTGCCCTTGTTGCATCTGCTGATGTGGCTGGGTATGTCCGCATGACTCCTGCAAGTCCATAAATAAAACAGTAACTTGGATTGTGTTTTGGTTGTTTGGGGTTTTTTGGAGGGTGTAAGGATGCGTTTTGGGTTTGGATTTGGTTTCTCCCTGCCCCACAAGATGTGAAAGATTTTACTTTCCCAGAACTGTGATGCATGTATGTTAACGTGTATATCAGATAACAGGGGTACTCTCTAAGGCAAGTTTAAGGAGGCTTTATAATACTACCTCTGGTTTAAAGAGAGCTTTCATGCAAAGATAAGTTCTTGAAGTTCTGCTCCTGTCATGGAGTAATGGTAGCTCAATGATACTGATGGCAGCACAATGCTGCTGATTCCATGAGAATTTCAGAGTATCTGAAGCTCTCCTGCAACAAATGTGGGAGGCTGTTAAATTTACACTCCATGACAGTCTGGCACATGACTGTCCCTCCCTGCCCTGGACTGCTTTTGGATTAAAACAAGCTGTAAATATTTCTAGTGCTAAGGTTTGACACATGAAAACATGACTGAATTCACTGCATTTAACCAGTCAGTGTTTCACAACCTGATTGAGGTTTGTCATTCCATCAAAATTCCTGGTTAAAGATGGGATTAGGCCTTTTGGGGGTTACAAGTGTAGCTTGCTCTACTGTAACACACCACTCCTGTTTTTAGAATTCCACTCACTTTCTTCTATTCAGATTACTATTAGTTCTTTAACTTACTATGTCTTTCTCTCTCTGTGACTACAGTTTCTTTCTCTGAAGAACTGGACTTTACAGCTGGTTAGTAAAATATTTTGTTCATAAACTTAAATATTTGCTCTTCTGCACTTGGTAGAGAACTAGCTTGGATTTTTGCCTTATTTTCTAGTGAATCGGGTGGAAAATCATAGAATAGTTAGGGTTGGAAATGTATTTTCTTACCTTTACATTAATTTGGAAGTTGCATTTTAGCAACACTTTTCAGAAGAAAGTATGTGTGAAGTGCTACTTCAGTGCTTAACAATAATTAAAAATTCTCTTAAAATGTTGTAATACATGTCAAAAACCAATAGACCAGCACTGCATGCGTCAGATCTTGATTATTAGGCTGACAGATGTAAATCATCAAAACCAGAGCCTTTGAGTGCCTGTTCCTGATGGCTTGTCTGAGATGCTTCATGTCGTCTCTATGTTACTGCTTTGTTGCAAAAGATCTTCTATCGGAGATGAAGGTCTAGCTAAACGCAGAGAATGGGGAGTCATTCTAGCAGTAGCATATGATGTCATCTGAGTTACTGTTTTTATATATATAAATGATAGAGAGCAGCAGTTTTCCTCTGTCACTTGAGGATTTGTGTTGCAGTCTGATGTTCCTGGTGTCCTATAGTAAGTCTGCTCTCCTTGTAAAAACATGATTCCATAAACTTTTTGAACTTGCAGTCCATGTTAAGGTTCATTTCTCATGGATTACTAGGCACTCATCGTCACGTACTTTAAAAGATATATGTGTATATTCCAACACTGTAAACATCACATTCCTTAATAATTCCATTATCCTATGCTGATAGGAGCTATTCACTGTGCCCTGTTGAGATATTGGAACCCATAGGTTATGATGATGCACAGAGATAGAAGAAAGAAATAGATATTTTGGGTATCGGGGTGAGTTCACAAAAAGGCCAACCAGATACTCCAGCCCAACTTGCAATGAATCATTTATGCAGATAGCTGTGGTGTACATAATCTGTGTCTATTTGTAGTGCTCTGTGATATACATGCTTTGTGGTATTTAATTACTGAGTATCTCAGCAATTTCAGGCAGTTTGCAAAATGGAGCAAACCTCAATAGAACCTTTCATAAGCTTGTAGTTTCCTGTGTTCTATGATTATGTGGCTAGCTCAGACATTTGCTACCAGAAATTTTCTTATTAATTAGGGAAATAGTATAGCCAGCAATGCATTGGATATTAAACACCGATTCATACAATAATACAGGTTGGAAGGGATCTCTGGTGGTCATCTTAAGTATTTCATCAAACTCAAAGCAGGGCTGTGAAGTTAGACTTAACTTCAAAGCTATACTACTTTTCTCAGCGTTATATCCACTCAAATCTTGAATATCTGAAGATGGAGATTCTGCAGCCTCCCTGGGCCACCTTTTCCAATGTTTGACCACTTGGATGAAGCATAAATAAAAGTGAGGCGCTGGAAGAGGTTGCCCAAAGAAGTGGTGAATGCTCTGTCCTTGGCAGTGTTCAAGGCCAGGTTGGACAGAGCATTGGGTGACATGGTCTAGTGTGGTGTCCCTGCCCGTGGCAGGGGGTTGGAACTGGATGATCTTAAGTTCCTTTCCAGCCCAAACCATTCTATGATTCTGATCAAAGGTTTGAAAGTACCTTCTAAACATTCGAGAAACATGTTCTTGGACCTAAGTGTGCTGGAAGTCAGCTCCTTCAAGACAGATTTAATGTGTCATTTAATAGGAATCAAGCCTCACTTGTAATTTGTGGCCCTCTCCTCCTGTCAATTAGAAGCAGCAGTCATTGTTATCTGAAGAAGAGGAATACACCACTGGATCAGAGGTCACTGAGGATGAAGTGGGGGATGAAGAAGAAATATGCAGGAAACCAGGTACAGCAAGTCTCTCCAGTCAGCCTCCTGGAAATTTAGAGATAGGGATTCAAGGCAGCAGAATTCTTCTGTAAGCAGATTTTAAACATAAGGCATTTTAAAAATAAATGTTGCTTGATTTTTATTTCTATTATTTCTGTGTTTGGATACAAATTACCCCACTGCTCAGTGCCATCAAAATCACTGGCAAACAAGACAGGCTGCAACTGTTCATGTCCCATATGTCCTCAGAGTTGATTAAGGGTGTATTTTGCAGGAAACACTATCAAGTGCTTTTATGAAGTTTCACATAACTACACAATGATGTTTTTGCAGAATATCCTTCTGGTTATATAGTGGAATGAATGGTGAATGTGGCTAGAACTGTGTCTGCTTTGAAGATAAGCTCTCTATGATCTAAAAAGATTGTTCTTTTTTTGCCTCCTATTTTCTCCTTTCCACCCTACTAATGAGTCGCTTGAACAGAGACAGTTCTTTGTTTGGCCTTGACTCAAAGGGTTTGGAGTGTACCAGTTTGTTTAAAATAAGAATGAACATTTTTTGTAGTTTGAATTAAACTTGTTTGGTATCATATCACTCAGCTTGGTGATTGAATTAATACATCCAAAGATGTAGCTTCTATGTGTACTTTTAACCTTCCAGTAGAAAAATTGTGCTGTTAAGTGTAACCACTCTGCATTTTAAATATGTACTTGAGCTCCTGTACACTTCTCATAGGAAAGCATTTGAGTAATCTGTGTGTATTAGCTTGCCTGCAACAGCAACAAAAGGAAAACGGCCTGTTCATTTACTCTGTTTGTAAAGGAATGGAGAGGGGGAAAAAAAATCCTTGTGTAGCTGTGTATTTGAGAAATTCCAAGTGTCTGTGATGGTATGAGTAGATGTTTTTTTCAATTAGCAGGGAGAAAGGAGAAGTTAAAGAAGTCCTACAAGCACCCAAAGAAAGTGATTTCTTCACCTAGTGTTCAGAAGAAAGAGAAGCCATCTGACAAGGTAACATCACAGCTGTGAAGGTTGTCTTGAATAACAAGGACTTCTTTTCAGTTTTGGACTTGACCTTAAAACATACTTAAAGTGTTTTTTCTTTCCTCAATAGTCAAGTTCCCGAGATGCATCTCCATTCATGTAAGTAATTCTCAAAATCCTTGAGAACATATTGAAGTATATCCCTTTTTGTGAAGTGTGACTGATAACGTGGTGTGCATCTTTCTTTTCTAACCAGTGTGAGTATGCAGCAGAACAAATGGGATGCCTCAAGGTCACTAAGATTCAACCAAGATGCTCAAAGAGAAGATGGTCTGTTCTTGCATGAATTCAGCTTTCATAAAGTTAATATTATGCAAAGAAAATGGTTCTTTCATATAAGAAATGGCTAATTTGCTTAAAATATAGCCACTTAGAAACCTTTAGGTTGAATTTAATCTCAGATATAGCAGTGGGGTTTGGGTATTTTATTACTTTTTTTCACTAATAGTTGCTCCTCATTTGGAATAGAACAGATTTTGACTAGGTTAATACTAATCATCTGTTTCCAAACCACACAGTAATCTCAGGCTCTTCCAAACTGTACATTCATACAGCAAGGAGGTCCTTTTGAAAATGTTCTTTTAGTGTTTGATTGGCATTTATTAGCAATCTCATCTATTCTACATGAGAAAAAAAATGTTTGTGGTACCATACATCGTAGTCTTGCACACAGACTGAAAAATAAATGGGCAGCTTTGAACCTAATCTCTTGGAAAACATTGGAAAGGAGGTCAAAATGTGCAGGAGGAAAAGAAAATATGCATCATAAGTGTATGTGATTGTGGTTGTCATGGTTTAAACCCTGTCAATAAGTCAGCCACGCAGTCCACTTCCTCACTCCCCCCCCTTCTCCCCCCAGCCCCGCTGCTGGAGGGATGGAGAGGAGAATGGAAAGAATGTAACTCCCACAGGTTGAGATAAGGACAGCCCAGTAACTAAGGTATAACACAAATCACTACTGCTACCACCAATAATAATAATGATAAGGCAAATAACAAGGGAAGAGAATACAATACCACCCGTTGATACCCAGCCTGACCGAGCAGTGAGCCAGCCCTTCCGGGTAACTCTCAGTTACATCCTGGGCATGACGTGCTGTGGTATGGAATACCTCTCTGGCTAGTTTGGGTCAGGTGTCCTGTCTCTGCTTCCTCCCTGCTTCCCCTCCTCCCTGGCAGAGCATGAGACGCAGGAAGTCCTTGGTCAGACTAAACATTTGAGCAGTAACTAAAAACATTGGTGTTATCAGCACTGTTCCCGAAAGTCAAAAACACAGCACTGCGCCAGCTAATAAGAAGCAGAAAAAATGACTGCTACTGCTGAACCTAGGACAGTGGTTTATGTTCTTTATTTGAAATGTCAGCACATAACATGCAGAGATTACAGTTGTGTCATCTGATAACTGTATAAGTATGCGAATAACATTCCCTGCATCTCTGTGCCACGTTGTCTGTGCAGATAAACAGAGATAAACATTCACTTCTCTCTTTCCCAGTCTTTCTGGTTATAAATATTGGGAATTCTCTTAGTTTGTTCCACCTTCTTTAATCTCTCAGGAGACTCTTGTTCATTTTTGCTGGTTTGAAAACCATTCCCATAGATTTTGATCTCAGTGAAATGCCTCAGGCTCATTCTGCTATCTGCCAATAACACTGTTGAAGTTACCTTATGTGGTTACCTTATCTAGGACCTTGGTCAAGATTTCTATATGAGTTGAAAAGAAAGCTTATTTTACAAATACAGCATCACTAACGTGTACCTCTAATTCTTCTGACTTTGGTTTCAGTAGCAAGGAAAACCTCTGTTCTAAATATTCTAATTTCTGACAGATCAGAGAAGAATGTCTGAGATCACAGGGCACTTAATAAAAATGAGACTGGGAGACCTTGATCGAGTCAAGTCAAAAGACAGCAAAGAAGTAAGATTTGTCCTCTCACACTGTAATGTTTTACAGAATTGAAGTAAGCCTTGGTTAACAAAATATCTATTCCACACTTAAGCTACAGAGCTGAGTTTTATCAATCTTCACTTTGTTCTAAGCATGATATTTTTGGGGGGAAGTAGTTTAATAGTTAAAGTTTAAAAACTAGGTGTGGAAAACAGGATGGGTTTAAAAGGTTTCAGTACTGGGTTGCGATAATGACACAAAGTATGCCACAGCTTCTGCTGAATATTAATGATTGTTTTTAATGAAGGGTCACTGATTCATTGGATTAGTTTCAAAACTTGATTGTTTGGGGATTTTTTTTGTGACTCCAGTATGCAGGAGGCATTTATTCCAGACTTGAAGCGCAGATAAAGGCCTCAGCACAGGTCAGTGCACGACAAAGCAATGCTGAGAAGAATGCCAGGTAAGATTTCAAATTAAAAGGAGAAAGCAAAACATGGATTTCAGGTTGGGGGTGGGTGTTTCAAGAAAAATCTGTCTTGTTTCATGCACTTTTTTTGAATCTGCATCCCTTCTAGCAGGTTAAAGATATACAGTGTGAAAGCTTCCTTTGTCAAATTAAACTAGAGCTGAGACAATGAAACTCTTGCACCCATGCTGGAAGAAATGCTTTATAGCCACTGACATGGGCAGGGATGCCTCACACTAGGCCATGTCACCGAAGGCTCTGTCTAACCTGGCCTTGAACACTGCCAGGGATGGGGCAGCCACAGCTTCTCTGGGCACCCTGTGGCCAGTGCCTCAGCACCCTCACAATGAAGGACTGCTTCCTTATCTCCAACCTGAACTTCTATTTCAGTTTAAAACCCATTACCCCTCGTCGTGTCACTGCAGTACCTGATAAAGAGGATAACTGGAATTATGGATAACTGGAAAAGTGTTAGCCAAGATTCTTTAGCCTATTCTTTACCCTCTTTCCAAAAACCAAACCTAAAAAAACTCCAAACACCAAAAAAACCTACATGACTGCCTATTGGTTTTCTGTGCCTTAAATGGGTAATACAAAAATGAACTGAGAAGCTGGCACATCTCATGCAGTTGTGGAGCCTAGAAGTGGCCACAATCTGGCTAGCAGGTGAGCCTCTTAGGCTGAAGCTTACAGTGGAGCTGCTGACCAACTTTTAGGGGATGGGCTGGAAGCTTCAAATATGTCAGAGGAATTTCTCACAGGTCAAAAAAATGTATGTGGCTTTCTTCCTGTAGAAGAAGATATTTGACATCACGGTTCTTTCAGCTGTGTACCTCTGTATGAATATGTAGTTTGTGGATACAGGAATCCTGGCAGAAAGGCAACTTTCTCAGTAATAGATTTTGAAAATGAGAATATTTTAATGTGAAAGTAAATTCAAATACTGCACTAGACAGAGCTGGCTGGACAATAACTTGAAATTCTAGCAGTAATAATGTCCATGTGTTTCTTATGTTTTCTTAATCCAGGTCAAAATCCCGTTTTGGTCAAGGCCGCCCAACATAAGGACTCATGAAACAACCTTTAGCCAGAACTCATTACTGCTTCCTGAAACTACTGCCCTCTGTATGGGGAATGCACATCCTTGAAAGCTTTCCAGTGACTTATTTATTACTTTAAGCCTTGTAAATTATTTTGTGTGATACATGAATGCAAATCCAATAAGGTCTGTACTTATTTTAATTGTAAATATACTATTTCTTAAATTTAATTGCTTTTTTGGGGTATTGTGTTAAGTTGCATAGAAAATACTTTATAAACCTACAAAGTTAAATTATCAAACTAACTTTATTTATGGGGGAAGACATAAATATGCCTTTTAGTATGCTAGAAATACTGAAAAGGGAAAAAAGCAAGACTACTGAATTGTGAATGCAGTCAGCAGCACGAACACAAGTTACCTAACGTATTTATATCCTGTAGTATTTGGTGGTACATTTTAGGTCAGCCCTCTGGGGATTTGCATTTAAAGTCTGTGACAATACCTTAGAGTAGTTTAAACAAAATCTTAAAGCAGTTCTGAGGCTTCCTTCTGTATCTCATGCAGCTCCCATTGGTGTGAAGGTGGGTTACAGGTAGAGACTAGACCTCCAAAGATTCTAGAAATACCATGATGATGCAGTACTGCATCTTGCACGTGAAACGCTTGCTTGCTTGATTGTGAAATTAATACTCATTTCCACTCCATATCCAATTTCTCTTGCACAATACAGTGTTTTGTTTCCTTCTGATATCTAGGGTAAGAAGCAGTTCTCTCTCTTTTAATGATGCCATGTCTCTAAATTTCCAACCAGATATGCTATTAATTCTGCATCTTTCAATGGAGATGTGTCATTAAGAACACTTATGCATGTAGATCTTTTGGGTCTAGTTACTTTCTGAAACCTGCCTGAATAGTACTGTTTAGAAGTCAGATGCACTTTCAAGTCCTGTATTTGGAGCAATAGAATACAAGTTTGTATAGGTGTAAAATCCAGGGCTACCAAAATGAAATAACTTGTCTAGAAAATATTTCATATTAACAAAGAAAGTGGCAATAATGGCAATAATAATGGCTGAATTCAAGTAAACATATTCTGACTTTTTGAAACAGGTCGAAAGAGTGCTCAGGGAAAGCTTATTCCAGGCCACAGCTGTACAATAAATTGTGAGTTTGGAATCAAGTTAGCAAGATCCTGGGTGGGAGGGTGGGAATGGGGTAAGGGGAGGGAGATCATTGTTTAAATGCACTCTTCTCTCCATTCAGGCTCTTTTTGTCTTGTTTCTTGAGGATTTTCAGTAGGCATTAGAAGACGTAGGATAGCAATACTTGAAAATACAGCATTTGATGTAGAAGGGTTTTATTGAAACAATTACAGATGAATGTTGTTTATTGTGTGTTTTGTCCAATGCTGTAGCAAACTCAACAGGCAAAACTGGATTTCAATGGCTTTGAATTCGGACAAGAGTGGTAACTTTGCAGGAGTGCTTTAATCTGTATCAGATAAGGCTTTATTAATGCCTCAGGCCTGCTTGCAAGTAGTAATGCAGCTTTAAGCACTTACAGTAACCACTGGAAAACTTCTTCACTGAAAGAAGAAGTATTATAAAATCAACCAGGTATGAAAATGCAGTAGGATAAGTGTTTTTCTACATTCTGTGACTTCTCATAGAGGGTTGTTCCAAATTCCCATGGTAAACTTTGCTGTGGAAGTCACAGCCTGCATGTGTGTGTGTTTAGTTTTCCTAGAACTACTGACTAGAAGAGAAGGGACAACTCTGCTGGTTCTGTTCTGTGGGAAAGTGCCAGTTCAATGTGCCAGTATTGTTTTATTCAGAAATATTTTTGAGCATATAAAAGTAACATACATGATGTTCATTCTTTTCCCACCTTGCCAACCACCTTGAGTTTTTATCTTGTGTTAATTTTGAACATCTGTCTTGGTTTAATGGAAATAAATGTTGTTAATTTAACAAGTGTGTGAGTGTTTTCTAGATACTGGTCTCTAGATTCTGGTCTCCAATCATCTGTATTTGTGATTAAATTGCAGCATCACAGTGCAGGCTTTTTATCTGTCGAGGACAGGATATCATTGTATGCAGAGCTACTCCAAATCTACAAGATCTCAAAGGAGTTTTTATCTGCATTGAGTTTTGAGGCTGGATTAAAAGTTCATGAGTGAGCTGCCCTACAGATGACCCAAGTATGCAAAATATCAAACTAAGCCATGTTAAAAGCATGTTTTAACTTTGCCTTCCACTGCCACAGTGCTGATCATACCATTTAAACAAGTTGTTAGATATATCAGTAGGGTTAGTTTCCATGATTCTGCTTCTAGAAATTGCTATATGGATGCCCTGTATATGTGCAGTTGGTATGCTGGAAAGGCTACAGTGTACATCCTGTTGTCACTTGCTGCACGGTGGAGTTGTGTCTGTTTGCTTGGTGTCCAGAAACCTTGAAGAAAGAACTGGAATTTTAATTTCAGTAATGGTTCGAAGAGAAAGAGACAATGTGTTAGGAGAAATGTGACCATACAGTTGCCCCAGTCTGCAAACATAAATATATGAATAGCATGGGCATATTTAATGTGACTGAGAGGACACTTCCCTTTGCCAGAAGGGAATCAATTTTTTGAAAAGCATTGCTTTCTCTTCTTGAGTGTATGGACACACTGTTTTGTATTGGGAAACTGCTTCTGTGCATCAAATGCTTGCTTGAGCCATACATGAAGTTTCCTGCTTCCATTTAGGCACTTCCCTCTCCACTCGAAGCAAATGTAAAACCTTAAGTTACTACTTACATCCAAGAGAGCGGTATACATAAACACACACTGAAGACACTCCTCCTGCAGCTGTTCTTGGTGAAATCTAATCTGTATGAACTGTACCACTATGTTCTGAGGGGCTTTTTTCTCTATTTCTTGTTAATTAGGAAGTAAAGAAGACTTCACTTATGTAAAATTTATCTTGCTACAGGAGTAGATTTACTGTTGAATCCCCTTGTGGCTATAGCTATAAATAAAACCAGCCAAAGGCTTTTCCAGGCTTGAGGCCAAGTGACAGCCCAGACTGGTTGTGTCCCTGAGGTTAATGTCTCATACTGTCTTTGAGCATCATGGTGGTAACGTTGATGGAACCATCAGCCAGTCTGGAGGCTACAGCAACAGACAGCTGCACAGGGCTGCATGAGCTCTTCTACTCTGGGAATCACAAGGGCTTTGAATACTGATTTGATATGTGCTGTTGCAAGTGGTCAGCATCCTCAGTTTGGGGAGGATGCTGCACTCTCACAGAGCCTTTAGTAGATGCCTTGTAGAAGTGTGGTCCTGCTGTTTTCCACTGTTGTGCCCTGAGTGCTCAGCAAGCAATGCTGTCCTTGGTGATGGAGCTGGATGCTGGGATGATATATTTTGGTTAATGGTGTTCAGTGTCAGTTGACAAAAATCACTGTTTCCACCACTCCAACCTTGCTGGGTTGTGTTCCTCTCTGTTCTATAGCTCGTTTGGTTTTGCAGATCATCTCACCTTAAATGCATATCTCCATTCTCCTCTTTCCCTGTGTGCTAAGTGTAGAAAACAAACGAACTTCATCTGAACTCTGTTCTGGGCCTGACTCCATTATGGGACACAGCTGGCAATGGCTGAGACTGTTGTGATGCTTCTCTTTGGGTTTGGACTGCTGATCCCTGAGAACAATAACCAAGCCAGATGGAAGTTTATAAAGAGTGGGTAACAGCGTTAAGTTGCATCCAAGCAGCAGTTTTCATTCTACACCTGCCTGGAGGTGATCTTTAACTTATTTTGGTCTGGGGTTTGTGTACACTAAGGGCCTACCTCCTTCAGCTTCTAGGCTGCCTGAACTTAGACAATGAGGGAGATCTTCAGGAGTTTTATCCTCTAAGGTCTCATGCCACTTCTTATCACTTCCAGCTAAAAGAAATCCCAGAAAATGTTGAAGCTGCTTTGCTTGTGATTTGGAGTACCCCCAAAATTGATCCTCATTAGTGGATTAAGATTCCAGCACACAAATATTTCCAGTGGTCAAGAGGCTTAGTTGCTGGAAGAACTTTTTGGTACAAATATCAGCTTATATAGCCTCTATCCTGGCTGTGATAGCACAAAGGTGTGTGATGCTGTTTGTTCAGGATGCAGATCAGGAAACTTCTCTTCCCTTTTCCTCTTCCCAGGAGGTATTTTAGGCACAGATCTCGCTTCTGTATTTTGCCACATAAACTTACAAAGGCCTGGCCATTGTGGACACAGGGAACAATCAAACAGGGGAGGAAAAATAACTGCCTGAATTGCCTCTAGTAGTAATGCCACCAGATGCATAATCTTGGCTGGATGTGGCCTTTGTACTAAAGAGCTGGTGCTTGTGATTGAACTTCTTTTAATACATTTTTAATCACTTCAGCTTGAATTGCTCCCACATTTCCATTTCAATAACGTAAGGCTGGGAAAGTCAATGAAAAATTAATTTTCAGTTATTATAGGCAATTTCATTATAGTTTGCATTTTCATTCAAGCTGTAGTAATTACTCTAGTATCCATAGTGACAAAACATGCTAGCACAAACATGAGAAGACCTTGGTCTGGCAGCAGCTGCCTTACTGTGTAATGAGTTGCTCCTTTGAATTAAAGGTGTATTTACCTCTAAATGATTGAAACAAGCTGCATGATAAGCAGTATCATTTGTAGTCTTCGTAAGTTCTCTGCAAGCTTTTAGCGTCTTTTGGGTTTTGATGATGAAACTTCATTGAAGTAAAATGTTTTAACTGCCTGCTAAACCTATTTTCAGTGTATACAACCCATTAAATACTAGGCACGCTTCAGAGATGTTTGTTTTCGTTGCATCAAATAGTATCTGCTGGTTTTGCAGCAGGAATTCTGTACTTAGTGAAATCGAGTTACGAGAAGATACTCTCCATCCTTATGAGATCAAAAGGGGCAATGCTGATCCCTTTGCCTTTTGACACCCCATTTAGTTTTCTTTACCAGGCAATATATAGGTTTCTCCCATATTGGTCTGGACATCCTGCTAATTTATTTATTATCATTATGTTAAATATTAAAAATAGACTTTATCTGTGCTGTAACATGAAAAGTTATATTTCCTTGTTGGTTCTTTTTATTGCCCCAAAGGGACTTTGATCCCACAAGCTGAAAATGATAAGCACATTATATAGTTTGTGGATTGCTGTCGAAGGCTCATTCCAAGCTTTTGCCTTGTCCTCACTGAAGCATTTATCAAGATAACAACAGACTTATATGACAGATGAAATGATCCTTTACAAGTGTTACATATGAGAAGCGACCATCCTGTTTTCAGTAGGATATTTCCTCTGAAGTATTCATGGCACTTTCTGTATCTCTGGTTTTTGCTTTGATCACTTGGGTTACGTTCATCGGTCTTCATGCTCAACGTAAGTAGTGTTATTATTATAGGTGCTTGTGAGTCTGTTCCTGGTTTTATTGAAACTGAACGGAATTAGATTTATCAAATTCATGTAAATCACAGTCCTAGAAGTTTGAAGTATGTTGATGTGTTGACTGATAAAATAACATCTAAGCAAGCAACATAGTGCCGATGGATGTCATCTATGGACTTCCAGGGGCTCATTGATCATAGAATCATAGAATAGTTAGGGTTGGAAAGAACCTTAAGATCATCAAGTTCCAACCCCCCTGCCATAGGCAGGGACCCACTGCTCTTGTATGTACAGTGGGTTTCACAAGTTCTCCTTGAACTTTTTCAGATTTGGTGGTTTTATATCCGCATCAGACATTAAACACAATACCTAGGATGAAGTTGAGTCTGAGACTTTACAGTTTTGAAGTGGGGATCACTTCAATTCCTTGCTGCTGTTATTCTGCTAAATTAGATCGGAATAGTTGCAGTTTTACATCTGGTATTTGTTGGAATGGTAAGAACTCCATTAAAAGTTCTTCTTCCAAAAGTGAGAACTGTGCTATCCGTTAGCTGATTCTGGGAGTAGAAAAGGTATCTGCATTCCTAAACCTGAGGCATTAATATCATTTTGGCCTTTCAGCCTTCCTTGAGGATCTTCATAACAGTGAAAAGGCTCAAGTGCCTTTCCTTTGCTTGCGATAGGTTCAGAGGATCACCAGGAAATGGCTGAGGGAAATTTTTTCTTTGGGGGAAAAAAGCAACAAGGGTTTTTATTTAATGATTGAATTTCCCTTATTTAACTGTGACATACCATTCCAACCAGTCCCAACTTCCCGGTTTTATTAATCTTTTTTAATAATCCTGCTTTTCAAAGTAAGCTTTTGAACACTCAAAGATGGATGCAGTGAATTAGACCCATCACCAGCAGCTGTTGCCTATGAAAAGTATTCTCTAGGGTTTTGTTCGGTCACTTGTGTACAGATCTGTCCACTGCTCACTTATAAATGAGATCCTATGGAGTGGTGCAAACGTGAAGGCACCCGCCTAGCCAAGCAAAAATAGCCCACTACTTATTTTACCAACTGCTGCTTTGAATACACAAGGAGAAGAGTGGGGACACCCTCAGCATTAGTGCAAAGCCACAGGAGACCGCAGAAGATGCACAGGTATCCGTAAGAGCACAGATTGCACTGTGGCAGCTTTGCTGAGTAATTATGGTCAGGGAAGGAGGGAGAAATCTGGTGGGTTTCTGGATTTCTGTGTTTAGAGTTTGCAGATCTAGGGAAAAAGTCTCTTTTTGTCACACAGAGAAAATGTGGAGAGAGGGCACTGAGGTATCCATGTATGAAAGCCACTTCCCAGGAAAAAAGCCTGTATTTCCAAAGTGCCAACTTCTATAACACTGTAAGGAGAATACATTTCAGGTAAATCTGTCAGTGTGCCTTTACCCTTAGCTCTCAGATTCTTGCTCACATTTCAGTGATGAATAGCTTTCTGTTTACAGTGCCCTTGGGAGCAGAAACCATTTGCAAGGCCAGGGTGCAAAAGTAGTTTCAATTATGATTTCCACGGATGGTTCAGCAGGAAATTAACCAAGAGTGATTCATTGTTGTTAGGCAATCAACTCCAAGTTCCAGTCTGGTCAGGGTACAAAGGAAGGACAATTCTGCAGCTAGACGTTTCCACATCCTTTTTTTAAGCTGTGATGTTCTTTGTTGTAGAACTTCTTCAGGCGAAGATAGATTGGGTCGCAGACACTAATGTTTACCTATTCTGTGTAATGTATCACATTAAACCCTGGAAATCATGTCAAGGTGCTACCATGATGGATGTCTTTCAGCTTCATTTGAACTGTATGCATCTGTTTTTATATAAAGCATAAGCTTTTTTTGCCTTGAACTACTTCTGCCAACAGTCCCACTGTCATTTGTACATGACTTTTCCTTTTCTTTTCAGAAATCACAACTATAGATTGTGACACCGTCCCTGCAGAACTCACACTGACAGGCTTTTTGGATGAATTTACAGGTAAAAATCATGATTCTATGCTAGAGCTGTCCAATTTGCTCCCTAATGTGTGCAGTACTTCAATGCTTCATACAGTGTATTTTATAATGAATCTGTATTATTAATTAATTCACAATAGGCTTCATGGCTGGATGCAGCAGCTGCTTACATGGCACACTGATTAGGAGAATTGTGGAATGCTGCTGGCCATGATCATCATAGAATGGTTTGGGTTGGAAGGGACCTTAGAGCTCATCCAGTTCCAACGCCCTGCCACGGGCAGGGACACCTTCCACTAGAGCAGGCTGCTCCAAGCCCTGTTCAAACAAATAAATATGAGCCTCAAAACTCCCTGATCCAAGGTCTCACTGTCTGAACAGACTGAGCAGGCAAAGGGAAAGTAAACAAGCACAGAAAACTTTGATGTCTACAGTTCCCCTTGTGCAGTCAGCCCACAAGAGTTGATGCCTTCCTTCCCTCCTATGTCAGAAGGAACCAGTGCCACCACAGCCTTGCTCTGCTTCCAGAGCTTTGCTCCACTCCAGACTGGAGCTACTCGGAATGCCAACTGTTTGTTTTGCTGGAGCAGATGGGCTGCAGAGGAACAAGCAGGCTTGCAGTGCAGCGAATTTCAGGATCAATGCTAGCCAGTCAATGCATTTGCAGTTTCTGTCCTGGATTACTTTGTTAGCGTAGCACACTCTGTATGATTCTAATGATTATTTAATTTGTGCAGCCTGACAGGGTCAACATTAATTTACCCCCACATTTTGTAGGCTTCCTTAGTCTAGCTGGTGAAGTGTGATTGTGCCTTGGAGACCAAATCCCACACTGGGGGAAGTCCAGTGACTGCTGGAGAGCTCAGTGCAGAAGTGGTTTTGTTATTTACATTGCAAATGCAGTCCAGAGGTTAACTCCATCCTCCTTTTCCTCCCAGCACTAACCAGAGAGGTTACTATTGTTAGCTAAAGGCTCAGGCTGTCTGTGGCTACACTGTCTGTTAGAGACAGCCCTGCAACCGGGATTCGACTTGCCTCTCTATATGTGTATACACAATGATCACATGAGGCAAAGCATTGAATGTTATGGCCAAAACATTCCCTTCAGGAACGGACTCAGACTGGTCGTTCTGTGCTCACTGCCATTTGCCTGGACTTTCTCCTTACATGTAATTATAGACCAGTATCTTTGGGCTGGTAGCTGACGGCATTCCAGACACTCCCTGCTGCTGGAAGAAGACAAGGTTCCCTTCCTTCACCCACTTGGAGACCAAGACCACAAGTCTATATGCGGACATCAGAGATGGGACTGTTATAGAAAGGGTTTACTAGCCTGAAATTAATAGTGATGTAGTACAGACCCAATAGAGTAAGAAACAAACACAGACAGCAAATTTCCTGAGGCTTGTGGAAAATACTGGGGATGTTCAGGAATGATTTTGGAGGGGAGAGAGGATTATAGGTTTGCAAGCCGGATAATGTGTTCTGTGAGAAGATAAGTATTGTTTCATCAACATAAATACATTGATAATATGAGTAAAGTAACTTTCATGAAATTGCCCATAGCACCACACTGGATGGCTTAAAAGGATCCATTTCAAATGCACGTTCGAACACTGATTTGGTGTTTAACCAAACAAGTAGTACATTCACTACTGAAATGACAGTGAGTCCAATATGAATCATGGTAATTACAAATAACAAGTTTCCATGTATTGGAGACAACAGTTCCTAAATGCATGGTTGCAGGAAACCACATTAAAATTGATTCTTAGGCTGCATTTTTCGTGTTGCAGTGTTCTGTACATCTAGGAACAGATTAAAGGAAGGACCATACACTCACCATGCTGTACCAAAATCAACACTTAAACTACAACATGCTTGAATCCAGATTCACAGTGGATTCTATATGCTTGGTAGGTTCAATTAAGAGTTAGGAAACGCCCTTGTGTTTGGATGATACTGATACTGATCCCATATAGCCCTGACCAGCCTCTTGCTCCTTTTGATTCCGTTCCTTGACTTTGATTGCATTTTGATTACACTAAATGTGAAAAAAACAGTTTTGCAGCCAAAAGCTATTTGCAGAAAATGGTGGAAAATTTGGGGCACATTTTGCCAAGGTTTTTAATTCTGGAGACACAGTTGCAGAGTGGGAATACATTGGGAAAAGTGGGTTTGTGTGGTTTTAAAAGCGTACCAATACACTTCTGCAGAGTACATAAGGGGACTTTAAGAGAGCTGATATTTTAGCTGAAAATGCCAAAATAATATGAAATGTAACCAAAGGTAACCTGTCAACACACATGAAATGAACCTATGGATTTCTTTTCTGTAAAGCAATATAATTTGTTATGCTTTCCCTTACAGGTGTTATAGAATGGATTACAAATATCCCACCCAATGTCAATTTGAAATTAGGAGAGAATCTGTTCCCTGAACACTTACCGTATGTGGAGCTGGTGTATGATTCTGGATCTAATAATGCAACAGTGAGGACTCGTAAGCCTCTGGATGTTGATACTATTGAGGTATTATTTTCACTGCGTGTAAAACCTGGATATAAAGGTTCTCTTGACAGGTGGAAAAGGGGTGGCACTAAGACATCAATTGTAATTGCTTAATTTCTCACCACGAAGAGCAGCACAGGCTTCAGTATCTACCTCTCAGTAATGTCTGTTAAGAGTCTTCAGTTTTCTGTACCTGTAAGCTTAGTAGACAGTTCTTCCCTGATCATGTATTGCCACTTTAATGGAAGCTGTAAATCCACAGTTATGATAGGTGTCACTTCCCTTAAAACTCATCTCTCAGTAACATGAATTATTTCACCAAGCGAGATTGATCAGCTGTAATTTGGTAGAAGGCAATCTTTAATCAGGTGAATATTTATGCAAGTGCCTAACTTCACACCTGAATAGAACCATTGTCTTCTGCTGGTCGATGCACAAAAGGAGAGGTCTTTCTTCCTAGGCCATTCTTGCTCTATAGGACTACCAAGAATAAAGAAATGTTAATGTTTTCCTGGGTAAAGATGCCTTTGAATGTGAAAATGGTGTAATTCTGCATAGTAAGAGGAGGCTGTTTGTTATACGAGTACCGTTTCACAGTAGCACTGTACTTGACAGAATTGACCCATACCTGTTTTAAATACCACTGTTACAATAAAGACTTCCAACAGATAAAAACGTACTTACAACTTCTACATTCTCTTTTGGACATTTTCCACATGGGTTAAAACACTTTTTATGCTGCTTATACATATTCTCGCATTCTCTGGCAATTCTCCATCGGGACAACAGCCCGGTACAGGGATGGTGGGATCTGGGTGGGTGGATAGCAGCAGTAGATGAATGGTAGCCAAATAAACTTTATAATTAATAATCTGTAATGACTTTGCTATATATTCAAGGCCAGGTTGGACAGAGCCTTGGGTGGGATGGTTTAGTGTGAAGTGTCCCTGCCCATGGCAGGGGGGTTGGAACTGGATGATCTTAAGGTCCTTTCCAACCCAAACTATTCTATGATTCTATATTATAAGCAGTGTGTTTTGGGACAACGCACCTGAAGATTCAGCTACCAGAAGTTGTTTTGTATAATTTTGACCTGAGCATTCCTTGACATCGTATTAAGAGGTCATAGATTATATTATTTATTTGTTTGTTTGTTGATTTTTAGAGTGTCTATCTCTTTTATACCATCATTTGCCAACGGATTGGAACGGTAAGTAAAAGACATGTTGTATAACCTATGTTTTTGTCTAAATTTAATGAGAATTACTGTTTTCTGAGTTATTATTCCATTTAAAGATACGATGCAGGGAGCTGAGAGTACCTTTTAGAAGCTGTATTTGTTTATATGTGCTGATTTGAATAGTTTTGTTCATGGAAAACCTAAGGTAAACCTTTAAAAGTTCATTTAAAAATACTTTCACAAACTTTTACTCCGTTGTTACACATGGTAGTCTGACTTTCTCACTGCAAGCTTTTAGAACTGAAGGGATGTCTCTTTGAAGATCTCGTTTTAGACGATGAAATGAAACGTTAGCAGTATGCTGCTGCCTCACTGCTGTCATTTCTAATGTATCTTTTGCTTCCATTATGAAGAATAATGAGGTAGAGAACAACAGAAACTTAATCTTGGAAGATGTTAATGACAATTCGCCAGAATTTCTCCAATCTCATTACAGTGCTTCAGTATCAGAGGTGGGTTATGGCAAATGTTAATGTTTCTTCTTGTGACATTTTCAAGTTACTTTTTGGGGCCAAAACATATGAGGTTCTAACATGATCACACTGATATTAAATCATGACATGCACTTTTGTGGGACTTGTGTACACATTGCTGTGAGCGTGGAAAAGAATGGCTGGGTTGGATGTACAGCTGAAGGCATGGGGTGAATAAGAAACATTCAGTTATCTAACCTAAAACGGAAATGGGAAGTAAATTGCATATGTTAAGGCGGTGGCACAGCCAAAAGGGGCTTGTGACTGAGCATTTGATGGTCTTTATTTCCTCTAGGTAACTGCAGTAAATGTCACAATTATAAAAGTGGAAGCTGTGGATAAAGATTTTTCTCCTACGTTCAGCACCATCACTTACAGTCTTTGGGTGAGTGCCTTCTGTTTGTCAGAGACTGTGAACACCGGTCTACATTCCATACAGGATACAGCCTGGGATGTGATCCAAGTGAGCTGTCTTGCAGACACATGTTACAGATTACAAATCTGCAAAAAGCTAGCATCAGAAAGACCATTTAAAATTAGGACTTATACCACAGAATCAGCCTAGCATGCAGTGAGCCCCGAGTCTTGTTTCTTAGCATGTGTGAAATGCTTTGTGGCACTGTTCAACTACAGCTGAGGAGCTCACTGGTCCTGTTTAGAAGCAGGAATGAAACAGATCCCCCTCTTCTTAAAGTCTGTATTTGATTTGCTGTCAATCTCCAGTCCTGATGAAGTGTATATGTAAGGCACCTGAAGTAAGATTATTTCAGCTAACACTAGATATCTGCAGTGGAGATCTTCACATCTGATCCTGCTTGCTCTGCTCTTTTCATAGCGGTGAAAGGAAGCTGAATGCCATTCATCTGATCTGCTTTTAGTTATCAGCCATAGGACGAGATAAATCAGATAGAAAGTCTAATGGCATTGATGAGAGAGGCAATAGAACGTGTGGAAGAGGATCAGCATTTTCGTTTTCAGTGGGGGTGGTTGAGAGATTCCTGGTCCATCATGAAGAATAGTCCAATAATAAAGGTAGTAAGAGGACATTAAATGTAATTCATTGTTAACCATGTAAATTATGTGATTTATTTACTTAATAGGGTCCAAACTCCGATTACTTTCATATAAGGGAAGGAGATGGAAACGTCATGCTGAAAAAAACATTGGATTACAACAAGGTCAACCTTTTCAATCTAACAGTCCAAGCAAAGGTATGGTATCAATTAAATGAAGGAGTACCACAATAGTTCTACAATGATGTTTCTGTTGTTATAACATCCCAGTTTCTATAGATTTACAACCCGGGGAGTTCCAAGCTAAAAGTTGTGTCTGCATCTTGGTTTAGACTGCAGACAATGTAACACATCCTTAATATTTGAGCCACTGTTTCAGTCTCCCATTCAAATACCAGCCCAGGTTTCTTTCTGTGTGTATTTCTTTGACTATGCTTCTTGTATGGATTTATTTTTTAGTATTCTAACATATATTTATCAACTAATTCTGGCAGATCTACCCTATTTTTGCACAACTTACCACCTGCAGTCTCTCTGAGTGTCTTTTTTTGAGGTTTGAACCTATATTTGCCTTCAGTTCCTTTTAGAATTAAAAAGAAGTAATTTTGTCGTATCTATAGTGATATCTAGCAAATAGTGCAGCTGCAGCAAATACACTGTTACTACATTCTATGTGCTACTGTGTAACACCTACGTGATATAAAATTAATAACTAAGAACAATTGCCTTTGGATAGAGTTTTCCTAGAACTGGATTTCCAGAAGTGGAAAAATCTACCAGGGTGAGAGGTCTCAGGTTAAAAATGCTTAGACACTACAAAGCATATATTATATGTTATGTATAGTACATGTAATATTATTATATTCTGCTGTACTTTCTGCTGAGAAATGGCTCTTTCATGACAATATTTCTTATTTTCTTCCTTCTCTTGGGATGCAGGAATTAATGGGAAACAACAGCGATACTGCATCACTGGTAATTGACGTCCAAGATTACGATACATTGAACCCCTATTTCAGTCAATCAGTGTACAATGGAAACATCAGTGAAAACCAGGTAAAAGCTTTTCACTGAGTGCTGCAAATGTAAACAGATTATTGCTCTCTACAGTGCTTTTCTTTTGAGGAGTCCTCATCACTGCACAGCATAAGGTGGAGGGCTGCTTTGGTTTGTGCCAACTGGGGAACTGTAAGGTTATCAGCTGTACACTTCCAAGAACCAGGTTAATAGGCCATGTATTATATGAAACATAAAAACCTTCTGCTACAGAAACAGGTTCTTTTCTGTTTGGAGGAAAAAGAGGGGAAAAACCCCACAAAACTAAGCAACTGTTGTAACGAGGCTTTTACTGTAAACTTGGAAGGGCAGCTGACTGCCCATCAGTCCTGGAGCTGGCTGCCTGGGTTTGGTTTTAAATAGTGTATTTCCTACATATTTCATTACAATCAGGTAGGCAAAATAAGAATCTGAGATATTAACTGTGGTTTATATTCTATTGTAATTATCTCCTAAATAGGGTGGAAATTTCTCAGTGGAATGTATTTGATTAACTCAAGCTTCTATATGCATTGACAAAACCAGTAATCAAAATACAATATTACTAGAGTAATGCACTAAATATAATTATCTTTTGTATTATCCTTATTTATTGATCATTATCTTAATTTTAACGTATTTTAAACCACATGCTTTTTGTGTTATTCATTTGGTGTCCCTTTTGTTAGAAGCTCATCTTTAATTGTCTGAAAGGAATCTTTTTAGATGTTCTAAAACATTTTTATCTTCCGAATAAATTGCTATTTGCATTAGGGTGGGAATGGAAATATTCCATGTTACTAACATGAATTTCATCAGTGACTACTGCCTCATAGTCTGGTGTTTTCTCAAATGCAGCGTATCCATCAGGTTATTTTGGTCACCATTTTCCTCTGTAAAGCCTGTCTGATAGAGAGATAATTTTTTCTGGGTCCCAGTGATTAAATACATGTTTCTACAATCAAAATTGTGACTTAATTAGTTATTGATTTTATGTTTATGTGTAATTTTTGTTCAAGTTAATGAAGTTCACATATGTTTTCTAGGTGGGCCCTCTGGCTATTCACCCAGAAAAGATACTGGCTAAAGATGGAGACACAGGTATAAATGAAAAAGTACTTTACAGCATCAAACTAGGTAAGAGCCTTTATTTTCTTGTAGGCATTCACACAGTTATTTGAAGAGAATGATAAGGAAGTGCAGTGTACAGTCAGATGTCTTAGCTGCATGCCTCTTCACTACACTGCTTCTCCATGAGCTAAACTGACTTAATTTCAGTCAGTATAGAGGGTCCAACCACTTTAAAAACGTTTAGATGTTCTTAACCTCTCTCTAATAAACCATTCCTCAATAAAAGTGTAAGTCAGTTTAGGCTTCTGTTTCATCAAAGGATTTTCATTCAGAAAGTGAGAATTCCATCAGGAGCTTTTTCTCCCGCTGACAGAACTGCTAAAAGCTTCTGAGATGCTTAATATGAGACCCTTGAAGTGTGAGTGAATTTATTTAAGAATTGTTTTGAGGACACAGTGTTTGAAAACAAGCCTTTTATCTGGAATGTCTGTTCATTTTTTTGCTGTGGCTGAGAAGATAACAGTCATAAAAAGGACAGATCTTACCTCCTGTTCTGGTTCATTCTCATTAACCTATTGCAATCTGTTGCTTTGCAGTGGAACCCCTGCCCTATAGTAGCAACCACTTTACAATCGATGCAGACACAGGACTGTTGGAAGTAAGGATTGCACTTGACAGAGAAGAGTGTCCGTATCTCCTTGTGGGCATTCAGGTAGTGATGGTTTTAGAGTTCAGTGTGTTAATACTGAATCTTGATTTGATAAAATAATATGTAAATCATGGTTGCAGTTAATAGTACTTCTCATAGTAATGCTAAAGGGCAGTTGATATCAAGACTGTCCTGCCATTTAAAATACAAACAAAGGAAAACTTCATTCACTGGATATATGCAGTCATGTCATGTCCTTGTGTTAGGCTGGAATGGCTCACCGTTATCAGGGCATGGAATTACAGCTACAAACTCTTTGTTTTCTAGGCAAGCCAGCAAGACAATACTTTCAAAACAGCTGATGCAGTAGTTCTGGTCACTATTGATGATGTGAATGACAATTATCCAGTGCTGTCACAACCAAGTTACAACATCTCAATTCCAGAAAATCTCCCCAATGGGATGGAAGTTCTTCAAGTAACAGCTGCTGACAAAGATGAGGTAAAATGACAACGTTGTTATGGTTGCTACAAATACTGCACTTCTGAAATACAATGCAAAATGCGTTTGCATTCTACAGGTATAGTGAATAGTGCTATAGGTTATTTTTCCCCAAAGTACCTAAATATGCTTAAACAAAACAATCTTCATTTTACTTCTTTAAGGGGCTGAGTACTAGAAAATAAATTGGCTGTCTCTGAAACTCCTCTGGTTGGCATAAGGTCCCAAATAGGAAAGTACAAAAGTGCAAACCCTCAGCCTGCATGATCCGTTTCTTCCATGTTGTTTGTTCCTCTTCCTTTTTTGGGAACTGTAACCTCAATTAAACCAGAAAATTTAATGCTCTCAATTTAATTTTCTGGAAAATAAAAAGAAAGCACCCTAAGGGATTAGCTCCATGATTGTCCTATTTAATAACAAATATCATTACTCTTTGCAGGGAGGCTTCCAGGGAACGTTCATTCTCACTCCAGCTGATAGTCCCTTCCAGTTAAGCCAAGATGGCATCCTAACTGTGAGGAACTCCACATTGTTGGATAGGGAGAGAATATCATCCATTCACCTGCAGGTATTAGAAATAAGCCTATTCCTTTCCAAAGCAACCTGAGGCAAACATGTGCTATCTGATCTGTCCTGGCAAGAAGCTGACTCTGATATGGATCAGCAGCTTCTCTGAAGAATCAAATCCAGACTTTCACACTGGGGCTGTTTGGAGGGAATTACCACTAGTGATACAGTTTACCCAGCTTCCAAATGTTGTTCATCCTTCTTACTACTTACAGAGCAGGCATTGGAACAAAGCAATGATTTTACTACATCATTTTTAAAGGTCACCGCTCGAGATCATTTGTCACCTTATGGTGAGGGGCACTCTGCAATCAACATACTGTTGCTAGATGAAAATGACAACAGCCCAACCTTTAGTGGCACACCATATAAACAAGATATTTTCAACAACATGACTGCAGGAATGTCCATTCTTCAGGTACTAGAAGTGTTAAGTGAAGGTGTCATCTTTATGCGTTGAATGTGTGCATGAATCCTTGCCTAAACTTGTGTATTGGCCCTATTGAATGAGAGAATCTTTTCTGAACTAACTCCTCAGAGTTCAGAAATGATCCACCTTGCATTTAAAAGCTTATACCTGTAAATATTCCATAATCACAGTGTCCTGGATGCTCTAATCATACCCCGGGTCTGGAACAAATGATAAAGGATTTTATTCTTGATCTTAGGTACTATGCACCATCCTGAATTCTACAAACAGAAGACAGAACATAAGATTCTTATTGTAGAGTGTTTAATGAAAACTGAATGTTGTTAATGTCCAGAAATTGAAATAATTGTGAAAACTTTTGAAAGGCTGCTGAAAGCTGAAGTGTTGTGGATATTTTTAGATATGATATACATGGCATGATAGTAAATCAACCAGTTAACCAAATGAAACAGGAAACCAAGATAAAAATCTCTTCTGGAAGTGAGATATATAGGGAGTCGCTGTCAAAACTCATGCCTACTGATGCAGATCTACTGATTTAATGGCTCCTGATGTAACCTCTACACTAAAGCAAAACTATTTTTTCCACCAGGTTGCTGCTGATGATCCGGATGAGGGTATAAATGGAGAGATAAGCTTTATCTTAGCTGGTGGCAATGAAGATGGATACTTTGAATTGGATACATCCACAGGACAAATCAGTTTAAAAACAGTAATCCCATTAGGAGTCAACCAGCTTAAGAACTTTGTCTTGTGGATAACAGCTATTGATGGTAAGACAGGAGTTTAGTACAGGTCAACACAGCTATTCCTGGTGTTTTGTTTTGGTTTTTTGATGGGGTTTGATTTTGGTTTGGATTGGCTTTTTACTGAAGGGATGCTGTCAAAAGAGGTTCCCAGACTTAAGTTTAAAAATACCATGCATTTTTATCTGCTTTTGTTGAAGATAATACATAAATAACAGAATAATATATATATAAATCATATGTATAATCATAGAATCATGGAATAGTTGGGGTTGGAAAGGACCTTAAGATCATCCAGTTCCAACTCCCCTGCCATGGGCAGGGACACCTCACACTAAACCATCTCACCCAAGGCTCTGTCCAAGCTGACCTTGAACGCTGCCAGGGACAATTCTACGCTAATGTTGTATGTATTCAGGTTCTTATATTGTAACCCTCAGTAGACAAAACTGATCTTGGCTGGGATCTCTCAGTGTTACCATAAGAGCAGCAGTAAGGATTAACCCCCCCCCCCACCAAAATCAGTACCAGTGACAAAGTGTGTTTCTTTTAAGGCAGAAGGTATTTGTGCATCTGCTGGGAGATTTTCTTTTGCTTGCAGGTGGGATGATTCCAAGAAGTTCATCAGTGCCAGTACAAATCTTTGCAGTTGGAGATTCCAGACCACAGTTTGTTCAGAAGGCTTACAACGTGTCTGTGGAAGAAGAGCTAGCCAGTCCTGTCGAAGTAGCAAGAGTAAGAACAACTTCATTCTGTCACTTGCACAGGACATGACAGCAATAAGAAAATCCTGTCGTATACGTGCTCTAAATGTCTATATCCTTCTGGGTCATGGATAATTAGATGTTGTGTTTTCTTTCCTGCATTGCATATCAATCTCCATATACATTACATACTGTGTACACCCCTCTGATGAAGCGTGTCGCTCACAAAGGCTCTCTAATAACAAAGCCTGTTCTTTCCATTGCAAACCTTTAAACAGCACGGGCTACCATTTAACATAAACCCCAACCAAACAAACAAAAACCCAAAGCTAAAACCCAAAGCTAAAACCAAATGAAAAACAACAAAGAAAACCCCAGTACGACCTCCCCTTCTCTTCTCCACAAACCAAATAAACCCCATGACTCCCTTAGAAAGTAAACTTCCGAGCTTAGTTCTTGTTGACTTTGGATGTACTCCAAAGCCTGTAGCCAAAGGCTAGAATAGGCAATATTCACTCATCTCTTGATAATAACTCTAAAACATGACACGATAGAGCTAAGAAATGGAGACTTCCCATCAGAGAACTGTCAAAAGGGTATTTTCAAAGATGGCTCTATACCTTGCTCCTCATTTTGACCAAAAAATGCTCAGACAAGCAGGCCACCAGAATGCACTGGGATAGCTCCTTCTTAGACGCAGTTCTGAAGGCAGATGGGAGGTCTGATACCAAAGCAGTGAGAATTTCATGTGTTTTAGTGTTTTGATTTATTGACTTCCTGTGTTAATCATTTTTTCACTTTTTTCATATAAAGGCAGAACCAAAGGCTAAACTACAATCTATTTTTTTGCAACATATTATGTGTATTCACATTTCCTTCTTAGTGATGTTCCAGTGATGATGGAAAGCGCTCTATTTTTATGTGTATTGTGGTTTGATTTTTATTTCTTTTAATGAATAAAATCAGTAAAATTAGTATGAACATAATTCAAATCATTATTCTCTTTTAGACAGTGGCTTATTGTGTTTAATTAATTTATGGATAATATTCTTTATCTTACACAGGTGGAGTATGAGTCTGTAAATCCCCATATACCAGTTAGCTTTCAAGTACTAACGGAATCTGCTACGTTTGACATCAATGCCAGTGGAATCATTTGGACAAAAACCAAGCTGGACTATGAATCCCAGAATAATTACATACTAAATATTTCCCTGTCAGATGGAAACACTGTTGACTATGCTACAGTGTTTGTCAGAGTCACAGATGTCAATGATAACAGTCCTGTGTTTGGTATAAACAGCACTACCATTTCCATTCCAGAGAACGCTCCACCTGGAACCAATATTACCAGTGTGTCAGCTACGGATGTGGATGAGGGCTTTAATGGATTAGTGATTTATACCCTGAAAGGTGGAGAAGGAAAAATGGATATTGATACTTCAGGATTAATTGTGCTGGAAAAGGAACTGGACAGAGAAAAACAAGGCTTCTATAACTTAACAGTGATTGCCAGTGACCAAGGCCAACCCCCGCTATCTACAGCTCTCAATTTGACAGTCGTCGTTGATGATGTGAATGACAACCCTCCAGTCTTCTCATCAAGTAGATATGAAACGAGTGTCCCTGAAGATGAAGTGCTTGGAAAGGCATTGCTAACAGTATCTGCTACTGACTTGGATGCTGGGGCCAATGCTCTTGTAAAGTACAGCATCATTAGCCAGCAACCTCCAACCTCGTCACCAATGTTTGTTGTCAACTCAAGCACAGGCCAGCTCACCCTGAGCCAGCAGCTGGACTATGAAACCATAAAGCAATTTGAAGTGGAAGTGGAGGCATCAGATGCAGGGCAGCCGAGTCTCAGCGCTACCACACTTGTTGTTGTGCACGTACTAGATGTCAATGATAACCCACCAGAGTTTGATCAGGCAGCTTATGATGTATTTGTGTTAGAAAACCTGCAAAGGGGTAGTCCTATCTACACATTCAGTGTAACTGACAAGGACGAGGTAGGTATCAAATTAATCTCATCCTGATAAATCAAACTGACGTGGTTTTCTATATTAATCTGTACAAATGTAGATGGGCAGAGGGAGATTTCTTAAGTGGTTGGCAATAAATAGGTTTGGGGTCACAAAAACTTCATCTTGCTCTCTATGGAGCCAGGAATAA